TAATATGGTCTGGCTCTAAGAAAATAGTACACAATGAACTAGGAAAAATAGGCAACTTTAATTAACAATTTAGTTTTGACTTAGTTACACAACAGACCTTCAAATACTAAATTCTATTACGCCTTTCAAGAAGCTTAGTTGAGTTTGCTTATACAGCATTACAGCCTCAAACAAAGAATAAATAAAAACACTGAAAAATAGCTAAAGGAATGTTATATATTTTTAAAAACAATATGCACTTAAGCAAAGTGATTATTAATTATCGAATTTCTTAACATTCTCGCTCTTGCCAAATCATAATTTACAATATTTTGATTTTGCATATTTTCATCACCCTGTGGTGGATACATCCCAAAGTCAATATTAGCCACTTCATCAATATCAGGTTCTTGAATATTGTGGTCGATAGCCATATTATGTAATACCACACATGCATTTACAATGAGTCCAGCCATGTCTGGTTCATAGTGCAGGACTCGGTGTTTCAGAAGACAGCGCCACATATTTTTCAATCGTCCGTTGCAACGCTCAATTGAGCACCTCATCGTCAAGAAGGCTTGGTGAAACCTTTCTTCAGCCCCTGGTTGCACTTCAGTTAGTGGCGTTATAAGCCATGGCCGCAAAGGATATCCTAAAAATAAAATTGCTTTAAATAATTTAATTTGCAATGATGTTAACAAATGAAACCGAAATTAGTATTCTTGTAGCAAATATTCTAAAAAATTTAAAGACATGCAGAATTTTGCTTTCATTTGTGTAGACATATTGTCTAAACAACTTTTTAAAGAGATTATAAAGAAGGAAACCTTACCTGAGTCCCCAGCAAGAAAAAATGGCTGGTTAATGTGTCTGTATATGTTTTCCATAGTTGTGGATATTTGGCTCTGCCTCCAAATATGGGCGTCATGACAGCTTCCTGGAAAGCGTGCATTAACGCTCATAATTTTTAGCCTTTCATCACATACCTTTAAAAAAAAATATTAAGTTAAGTGAAATCATTTGTTGTTTGTACCATGTTTTTTTATTTATTTATTATACACTTTACAAACAACAATATATTGTTGTATACTGTCTGTCCACTCTAAGTTGGCAGAACTAAGGAATTTTGTAGTTTGAATATTAAAGAATTGTCATACTGTGTGCTTTTAAAACAGATTTTAAATTATAAATAATACTAGTATATAATATATACTAGTATTATTATTGAGTATTTAATATGGTCATACCAACTGTACATTCAGTGAGTGGTACTGCTTCCTATTTACATAAATCTCCTCATTTTCTCTTGGTCGTACAATTGCAACATGGGTCCCATCAACCACACCTACAACCCCTGGAACGTTGTATGCTTGGTAAAACCTGAAACAAGTTATTTTTGCTATACAAACTGTGTTTAAATGAATTAAATTATTTCACTTAAATTAAAAATGATGGCTGAACCAAAAAAAATACATATGATGCTATGAGCCATTTTGATCTTAGTAAAATTATTGCAAAACAATGTGTATTAAAGTGATTATTATTATATTATATAATTATATTCCATACCTTGTCCTCAAACCTTCCAATTCTTGTATGATTTGTGGAAAGCAGACAAATCTATTTAAAATGTGGGCCTGATTGAGGGCCCTAGCTACCTGCCTTATGCATCGAGACACTGAGGGCTGGCTTATAGTGTGGCAAATATGTTTGCCAACATCTTCTTGGTATGATCCGTGGCCAAAAAAATTGAGAGCCACCAACACCTAAAAATCATAATAGATATGCACAGAACGTTTTACTTTTATGGATAACATTTTAATCAGCTGTATCTTTTTTGTTTTTAAAGGTATTAAAATGAAAAAAAATCCAGTTTTTTCCTGCGTTAAAAATAAAACTAATGATGTTGCAAGATATTAACCTAATCTATATTAAACTATGACTATAGGTACCTAATATATTACTGGATATTTCGATTCAACTTAAAATTCTAAATACGAGCCCTAACCACATAATGTTCGGACACTTCATAATTTATACAGAAATTTTTTTCGTGAATACTATCTCAAAATTATTAGAAGTTATGAAAAATTCAGCTTATTTTGGCATATACCCCTCGAAGCGATTTTTATTTTTAAAAAGTTTACCTTTTATTTTTAGCTTTTAAAAAAAGGCTAACTTTTTAACTTTTTTTTGTATGAGTAAAAAAAGTTATAAATGGACCCATTAAAAAGAGCATAAAATATTATACAAACCCTGAAAATTTGGTAAAAAAATAAATAAGTTATAAAAAAGTATAAGTAATTTAAAAATGCTATTTTTAAAGAGTTTTTGCAATTTTCTTAGGAAACGGGAGATTTTGCAGATATATATATCGCTATAACTTTCTTATTATTTATACAATTTTTACCAAATTTTCAGGGTTTGTATAATATTTTATGTTCTTTTTAATGGGCCCATTTATAACTTTTTTTACTCATGCAAAAAAAAGTTAAAAAGTTAGCCTTTTTTTAAAAGCTAAAAATAAAAGGTAAACTTTTTAAAAATAAAAATCGCTTCGAGGGGTATATGCCAAAATAAGCTGAATTTTTCATAACTTCTAATAATTTTGAGATAGTATTCACGAAAAAAAATTCTGTATAAATTATGAAGTGTCCGAACATTATGTGGTTAGGGCTCGTATATCTATATATATATATATATATTTATTTGCTGCCTACAAATGGCCCTAACTAGGTATAATAAAAAATCAACTTACCTTTACTTCAACAGGTATGTCAGAAGCCCTGCCTTCAGCAGGCAAATGGGGCCTTATTAATTCTAATATTTCCCTTGCCAGGGCTTTAGAAACTCGATAATTTCTTTTAAACTGCTTATCGGAGAGCCGCCAGGCTTCCAAGCGATGGTCGTACAAAAACCTGGAGCCCCTATCTTCGTCCATTTGTACTTCCTCCTCTGCCTCCCGCAAATCATCAATCGCCACATGCCAAAAATAATAGTGAGCCATGTCCATAATAAAACACCGATTAAAAACACTTGTAACCAGTAAAACCACTCAAACTCACAACAAAATCTCTTTTTTTTAACTTAATGAGTGCCCCCACAAACGGCATTCAGAAAAATATGTTAATTGAATATATGGAACATAACCCCAAATTAAGAGCCGGTACCATTAGTCCTGATTTTACATTCAAAAATGCCCAAACACTTTGGGAAATAATTATTGTGAAATTAAACGCCGTAAATCAGAACTGACAGAACAGAACAAACCGGAATAAGAAAACAAATTTTTAAAAAAACATCTTTACTGCGCCAGCGCCACTCGATTCGATGCTGCTCCTCGCTTTCAGACCATGCGTTCCGGAACGTATGATTTTCATGAGATTAGTAATATCGGATCACCGTCCAAGAATATAACGGCGATCGTCTCATGTGATCATTCGCCATAAATCTATGCCGCTCACTGCTCAAGAATAGCCGCCCTGCCAGGGCGGCCCTGGCAAGTTGCGTATGCAGGAGGTGAGTTCGGGATTGCTACACCGTTCACACCGTGCGCACTTAGCAGTTCGGGTATGCAATTAATGTAAAAAGTGTGATTGTAATTGCGTTCGGGTATTTTAGTGTGGTGTGAACGGTGTTTGCACCAAACGCCCCACATACTTAAGTATGTGAAACGCCCCGACTTGTGAGCTAGGGCTTTGGTGCGGGCATGCGCTTTAGGTAGGTATTACATTTTTGAATTAAAAGTTTTACCCATGGAACAACACAACAACAGGTGTTGTTCTCAGGGTTGGGTCAGTAGAAAACCTTAGGTAATTTACCTTGGTAGAAAAGGGTAGAAAACTTGTTTTCGACTTGCGTCGAAAACCTATAGGGTTTTCTACCTACGTAAATTACCTTATTCGACCTTCTCCTTCCACTTCTCTATAATTGATAAAAATTTGCCCTCATGCCAAAAATTATGTTGGGGTCTCCCAACCAAACGCGGCCCTTTTTTTCCCACCATAATAATGTTAAAAAACTCCAAATAACTTCAAATTTATGGTAGGTGTCTGATTTTTCACAACATTTAACAAATCATAATAAACAACAAACTTGCATAACCTCACATTTTTTGATATTTGACAGTATTCTACTTTTTTACGTTTTCTACCGTCGAAAACGTCGAAAAAGGTTTTCTACATGTCGAAAACAAAAATGTAGGTAGATACCCAACAACTTGTTCTATGGTTTTAACCTTACAAATTGAAAGTTACAATTGTTATGATGGACTTTTTGAAGTAGGTCTTCGAATGTATGTGGATTCAAACGAAAATGCATCTGAAACTCATTGTCTCTCATTAAAGGAACAGTGAGCTCAGCAAAATTTTCAATTTTTTCAACAACATTTTCAAAGTCCTCTTCGTCATCGTTCTCAAAGAATAATTCCCGAGCCATATTAATAATTGGTAGTAGCAAACCAGGTAATCGATGGCGATGGAAATTCATTGCAATCTTTTAAGGTTAAGTTATTTATCTATGGTTATGAATCTGTCAAATATCACACCATAAAAACACCGAAGCGTTCGGGTTGCGAATCATAGGTTTCTCTTGCGAATGCACTTTTAACTCCCTACTCCAACACTACACCGCACTACACTTACACCAAACCGCAATCCCGAACTCGCAACCCTGCAAACGTGTTGAAAGAGTCTCTTTTTATAAATAAATAATACTAATAGTATTATTTCTATGCACGTATGTGTTCGCAACAAACAAAAATGAGCTTTTTAATAAAAGTTAAAAATTTTAAATATTAAATAATTTTAGAAAATTTACTTAGGTACTTATAGTTTTTTCGTAATTTGTTTTTATAGAAACCAAAAAATTTCATATTATGTAGTATTTGCGTTGTTTTTAATTCAGATTTTATTACAATTTAAATTTTAAAACGTTTTTATTAAAGAAATATGCAATATACATTTATATTTTGTTACTTTAAACTTCTATTTTGTATAGTTATAACCAAAAACTGTTACTTTTTAAATTTGGCGCTTGTCTTAACTTCCGCAGTTGGTACGGTAAAATCCCCTAAATTCCAGCAGAAAGTCAAGTGGAACTGTCAAATCGCAGCTAATCGCTTCAATTTCCCGTCGCCATAACTGCGACGAGATCGTCATAGAGTGTTTTTCGGAAAAAAGTCGTCGTTAACGACGCGGGGAGTTTCCTGCTCCCGAAGATTTTCGGCCCCAAAGTACACCTGCCTTTTTTGACGTACGGATAAGTTGGAAGCAAGGCTGATTTGAACGCAGTTTGTTTTTTGTCTGACGTTTTATAAACATGGCTTTTTAAAATGTCTGCCTCGAAATCGTGCGTAGCCACTCCGATCGGAGGTGCTCATTCCAAAAGCATCGTAGTTTTTAAGTGTGGAGGACGGGATGGAGAAAAAGGGGAACAGAAATGCGCAGTCTTCTACCAGGGGGCTCGCTGTTACTGACCTAAAGAAAAATCAAGGTAGGTTACGTTACGATCCATTTTGTTGCTTTGCTTTTGTTGCGCAATTTGATAATTTATTCCTTAATTTATTTGCACATCAGCTTAATTTTATCTTTGTTATTTAATAATGTAGTTTGTTGACTTGTTCTTGAGTTACATAAGGCAAAAGTTAATAAACAAATGGGAATGACTTGTTCTTGAGTTTCATATGGCAAAATATAGTGTAAATTTTTAAAATAGTTTTTGTCCCACACTTAGGTACTTAAAATTGAGACATTATACCTACGTTCGAAAACAATGGACAAACTAGGCTATTGTTACACTAGTTGAACGATGAAAATATTGTAACACTAGTGGAACAATGAAAAAGAAGAAGACAATATACCTAATTTTTATATTGTTGACTGTTATTATAAAGAATAAATACTTAGGTAACCACTATTTTTTACTCTCAGTTGATACATATTCACATATTTGGAATGAAATTTTAAAGGCAAATAGGTACCTATTCTCAAAAAACATAAAACAATGTTAGAAAACTTAACCTTTAATAAGTAGATAACTAATTAAATTTTAAAAGCAAATAATCCCATAAAACAATGTTAAAAAACTAAACCTCAAAAACCAAAACACTTTATTTGATTGTGGTACAAAATAATTTGTGCAACTTGTGAAGAATAGTCGATTATAAACTCGCATTCTTGCCGCGCGTGCCAAACGAATGCTCGTTTATAATTGAATATTTTCTTCACTTGCACAATATACCTACTATTTTTTAAATGTTTACCACATACACATTTATGTATTCTTTTGGCGCATTTTCGAGGTCAAAAGAATGGATGTACCTAAACATATAAATACATGCAAAAATGTAAAAATATACATTACTATAGCTAACCCACTGCTTCGCTCGCGTTGTTCTATTACAGTTAGATAGTTAGTTAGGTAGTTATGTTACTCTCCAGCCCATAAACTCTTTATGGAAAAAATCACGCCAACCCCTTTTTTAATTTAATTTTAAAGAAAGGAAAAAAGTCAAAAAAGTAATACCACATAACAAAATCCGTTCAGCCGTTACTTAAATACTTTAAAATATGGCGAATGCACGGATGAAAACTGTTAAACTGAATTTTTAAGTGTCCCAATTTACCCCCTTAGTTACTTAGGCTTAGTATACCATTCCATTATAAAATTAATAATTATTAATAATTATTATTATAATTGAATTTTAAAAAATCACTTTTTAGTGGTTATCCATGTCAGGAATGCACTGTCAAAACTTGGTCTGGGTGTAGAAAAATCAGGACATGTGATTATATCATTTAAATTCATATCATATAATTACATGTATACCATACATTGTATCTACATATATGTAGCATTTTTTTTAGGTAAAATAATGAGTCATTTTAACATAAAACCAAACCACAATAGAGGAGCTTGCGTGAAAAACTGGCTATAGCTATCCATTTTGGTTAAAAGTTGGGCATAGGTTTATTGTCAAAAACCTAATATTAAGGCCAACATTTAAAAAATAATTTAGATATAGCCAGGTTTGCTCCAAAAACCAATAATAAATGTGCCAAGCAACCTTTTATTTCTAAAAATAATAACAAAATACTAACCAAGAAACATAATCCACATTCTAAATTAAAAGACGATTTTCATATTTTTGGATATAGGCGGTTATGCTCAAAAAACTACTTTTTAATTCCATTTTTAACACGAATAGAACCGGTCTTGGAACGCAATAACTTGATTATTAAATTATAATAATGCATAAAGTTTTTATTATGCATAATAACTAAGAAATTTAGGCTTTAAGCATAATTCCCAAAATGCACAGTTATTATGCATAATGACTTTTCGGAAATTTTCGGTAACTTGCCTTTACGACTTTTACCTTTTGAGAAATCTGCAAAAATGCAGGAGTTATTTTATTTTTAAAGCCACCAATGAGAACTCGGTATTTCTGCTATCGGACAAGTTTTGTTACATTTTTTGTTTGCAAAAGACACTGATATTCTAAAAAAGTAAACAAAAACAAATTGGGTGCGTGTCAAAAGGAGGGGCTTCACCTTAAGCCTTTGTGGCGCCAATTTTAGGACACCCTTATTGGCGGCTTTAAACATTGTTCAGCAGGTTTTATTTAAACATACCTTGAGAATTTTGTGTTTGTTTCATAGTCGGTCCATTATAGTGTATTATTATACGAGAGATATTGCTCATAATATCGAGTGTAATACTATACTTTATCTACTCCAATAAGTGGATAATTAAATGATTTTCCATAATAAATAAATAATATCTGACATCTGTCAAATGGTTAACCTTACTTTTAACCAATTTTAAATGTTATTATAGTCGCCTTCTTCCAATTTAAAACCCGATTGGTTGAAATCACAGTAAATATTAAAATCGGCCAATCACTAATGCCTAACAACGTGAATAATGAGTCTATTATTCCCGTTGTTAGGCAGGGAATTTATAATTTTAGTCATTATTTACGAAAATAACCCAATATGCAATAGTAGTAGATACAATTTTTTATTTACCATTCTTTTCGGTATCATATCAACCAAAACGCGTATCCCTAATTTTTTAGTAGGTCAAAAATAGCTTTCGAAATATACAGTGTGTGTGATCAATTAAAAACTATTAATTCCTTGAAAAATTGATTTTGTATGTGGGTCAAAACATGTGTTCCCACTAAAAACTTAAGTTGTTTCCGATTTTGATGAAACTTTACTAAATCATTGTCCTATCGGACTACTTTAATTAAGCAAAAGGGCAGCGGAAAAGACTGACAGATATACAGGGGATTGAAATTTTTCTTCTTTTTTTATGAGTGTTTTTTGGTTGATAAAAAAAATATAAATGACTTTTTTTAAATCAATAAATAATATATCCTATACCTTTTTTATCGTGCTTTAAGATAGAGGTGGTTTTAAAAGCGAAACTAAATTTTTTGGGTAAAAAAATTGATATAAAAATATTTTTACTTTTTTCTCAAAATGGGACCATTTTAATTTTTTAAAAATAAGTACCGTAAACACGGGTGGCTTTGCACCCCGCGGGTGACTTTAACCCTTTTATGAAAAATCTTTTCGCGCTTGATAAAATTAACATTTATAATTTGTTGGTATAAACTTGTAAATTGAGCGATTCTATTACAGGAAAATCAGTGTTTTAAAAAAATAAATGGGATTTATTACACTTTAAAATTGTATATATTACATCAGTGCAAAACTCTTAGAAATACACGCGTTACAATTTCTATATTATGCGCAATCCTTTGGAATGATTATCCTTGGTTATCCTTGGTTAACTACAGGTCGATTTTTTTTATCGGTAATCCCTTGCAATGGCTATATGTTGCTGCTAACATGTGTTTAATAAAAATAAAATAAAATATTGAGTTAATTTTATACGGAAAATAAACTGTAAGTGTGTTTTAGCCAAAACATTTTGTTTCTCTTTTAAAACCACCTCTATCTTAAAGCACGAAAAAAAAGGTATAGGATATACTATTTGTTGATTTAAAAAAAGTCATTTATATTTTTTTTATCAACCAAAAAACTCACTAAAGAAAAATAATTTTTTTAAGCCCCTGTATATCTGCAACCCGTCAGTCTTTTCCGCTGCCCTTTTGCTTAATTAAAGTAGTCTTATAGGACAATGATTTAGCAAAGTTTCATCAAAATCGGAAACAACTTAAGGTTTTAATGGAAACACTTGGCGTGTTTTGCCCCATTTACCAATTTATAAAATTTTGTGAAAAAATACAAAATATTTTGAAAAAATTGTATGGTTTATTTTAAAAGTGAGTTTTACTGTCCAATAGTTTGTAAAATAAGTTTTATGAACAATTACACTTTATAGAATTTTTTTTGGTGTTTTTGGGTTTAAAAAAATTGAAATTTTAACTCAAAAAAAGTTTTTGGTGTTTTAAGAATTTTTTTCTGAGAAATCTAAAATATAATTTGTTTTCCTTCTTGTAACTCAATCTAGGGATATGCTGTTTAATAAAAACCTTTCTTAAAATTGTGTTTTGGTACCAAAATCAATTTTTTTATTCTTTTTTTTAGATGTCAGTGGCAAGGCTTGGCCACGCGGCAGCAGGCGCCGCGAGCCGCCCAGCGCCGCGCTGGGCTCCAAGGCGGAACCGTCGCGGAAACCTGCGCCGCAACGCGCCAAAACCCTGGACAAACGCCCGAAACCGCGCGGCACCTACTACACTGGGAGCGGCGCCGTGGGCAGAGCAGAGGCGCCCCAGCTAAACGAGGCCGACGACGCCGAATTGGGTTCAGTTTTTCTACCGGGCAGTAAGAAGCAGAGCCTGAATCATCTGCTCAACTTCGTTTATTCGACGCCCAGGGAGGGTCACGTCGCCTCGGATAGAGGTGGCGCTGCTGGTGGTGGGAAGATGACCGCTAGCAAGATGATGGTCACCAAGAAGCACAAGTACAACAAGGAGCATTTTTTGCAAGCCAAGTAAGTAATAGGGTTAAGAAAATTAGTTTATTTAAAGAACTAAGAAAATAATAGTATATTATGTATCAAGTTTGATAAACGCCATTTTATACACGAATTTAATTTAGGCACGAGCGAGCTTGCGAGCTAGTTCTTAAACTAATGAGTGTATAGAAAAGTTTATAAACGAGGTGCATACTATACTTTTTCTACGACAAATACTTATTATTATCTTAAAATGATTTAAATCAAAAATTTGTATAGAGCGCCATCTATGAAACAACAGGGGAAACTGTCAAATGTCACATTTTTACATTTTATAAACACAACTATAAAGGTTATAAATCGAAATGTAAATTGAAAATTGACAGTTTTTCACAGTGAAAGTAAAGGAAATGTTTTATGAGGACTTTACAGTAGAGTCCGTACCCGAATGTAAGTTATAGTTTACTGCCGGCGAAATTAAAAGGTCAGTACAATGTTCATATAAACTTTTCAAATATTGGCGTTGAGAAACTATTTCATATTTTTGAATTGAGATAATAATATAATTTTCACATTTAGTATTATTTTACAAGAAAGGCACTTTATTTTAACGATTGTATGACATTTGACAACTGTCAACTAACTTCAGCCCGTGACTAAAGCGCCGTAAAGCCACAACTTGTCAATGTGTATTTAAAAGGTCACTTAGTGTCATGGAAACATGTACGATAAAGGGCGTTTTAAAGGTGGGAGTAGAAAAAACCTCGGAAAAAACATAATTTTGTTTATTTTTAACCAAATTTAAATTTTAATTATATAAAAAAATTCTATATTTTATCGACTTTATTCAATAATCGTTAAATTGACAGATACATAACCTCAATTGGACGTAGTTCTGCAGAAAGCAAGCAACCCATAAATTAGAAAAAAATAAGATAATTTGCATAGTAATACAAAATAAGCTCAATTTTAACCCATGGTCTTAAAAATCACGATAATAATTTATTTATTATATTTAAGTTTATCTATTTTGAAAAACTATTCATTAAAAATGGATTTATTGCGATCTATTATAAGTAAACCAAAACTTTAACCTCAATTATTTGACGCAAACCTTATTTAAATGTCAAAGTTGAACTTTTTCATGTGGGTTATTTCCATTGTAACGGGTGCGACACTGACACTGCGTTTATTTTCATGATAAAAAAGTGTTCGTTCGTATATCAAGATACGTTATTATACAGAAATAGTATAAAAATTAGATATTTAACTCTAACAAAATGTCAATAAAAACTTATAGAAAATCAGCATCTGCCAAGTTGGCTTCTAAAGTTGATACTGTAAAATTTTGGATGAAAGCGTAAAGTAATAAATTTTTGTGTATAACTTGAATAGTAATCTTAAACAAGCACGTATTTTAAATGCACAAATATTGTATACTTTATTTTCTAAAACTTTTCTCAAAATGTAACCTGTGCTACATTTGAACATTTTATTGAGTATTGAAACTATTCTGTGTTTATTCTTAATGTTAGCTTTTTAGCATCACAATGTACTAATATTTTAAGGTTATAAATTATGTGACAATTTGACAGATATAGTTTTTATTTTGTTAAATAACACATCTGAAATACAAATCGAACGTCTGAGCTATATCCTTACATTGATGACTTAAGGGTCAAGATATAAAAATTCAACTATATATGTAGTACAAAATTATTAGGATTCATTTCTTAACTTTAACTGGTAGGCGAAATTTTACTTCTCCCACTAGTGGGCGAAATAGCATTTTGCCCACGGGATGAAGTTAGGTTAAATTTGGAAAAAGTTAGGTAAGCTGTCAGATGTTAGATCAAATAATATATTTTTTCTACTTCTATTACGGAATATGACCGTTCTAATATCACTTTTAATGTGGAATGTCATATATTCCTGAAAGTATTACAGAATGAATAATAACGATAATATAATAATATTATCGGATGACGGAATAACCACTGGTGGCGACATCTCCGTGTTTAATATCTAACAAATTTAGACCGATCCAACCTCCCAATTAAATTATTTAAAAAAATAAAACCATAAATTTTTTAATTAATACGTAAATTTTTACTGTACATCAAAATACCTTTTTTTAACATGCAGGTTTTCTATTGCAAAATTATTAAAAATCTCGCAAAGTAGAAACAAAATTTTATTTATTTAATATTTCTATAACTTAATTTAAATTTACTGAAAAAGTTATTAACTTTAAAATCTAAATACGTAAACATCTAATCTAAATACGTAACTCAGACCGCAGCTAACCGACACGGTGCACTTTTGCAGCCGTCTGTACATTTAGTCTGCTATTCCAATATCTATTACTCTGTATTAGAGACCCTTAAGGGTCTTTAGTTAAAGTTGGTTTAAGGGTCTCTATAACTGTTAAAAACTCAACATTTTATAATCTGTGATTTAGTCTGCTATTTCAATATCTATTACTCTGTATAACAATTGAAGGGGTAAGTGAAAAAACATAAGTGGTTATTAACAAGTTTTTGCTGTATTGTTTCAATATTGTTGTTTGAATTAATAAACATCATTTTTTTTTTTAATTTGGACTCAAAACTACCCAATTTTGCACTTAACAATTTTATGCAATTGTACCCTTTTGCGTCTTACCCCTTCAATTTTTGATTTTTTGACTTAATAAGTATTTGAATTTATTTTTAAGACGAAATTGTCTTGATTGATTCATTGAAAATGCAAAACAGTTGTTGATGTTGTCCCCTTAATAATTTTTTATTATTTAAAAAAATCTTTCCAAAGTGTTGAGTACATGTTACCCTCTTTAAATGGGTCTTGTGAAATTTTACCTTTGGAAAAGCAACGTTTTTGATGCAAACTAAGTATAACATTCATTTATACCCAAAAATGTAACAAAAACTACAAATAAATATGTTCAAATCCTAATAAGTAATTACAAAAATTTAAAATATCTATATTTACAAAATACCTTCTATTTCAGTTGTCAATTTATTGTCCAAGAATCTGGCGATTACAAACAATACATGAACAACCCTGATGCCTTAGTTGACTGGAATCTTATTGAGCAAGTGGTATGGCAATGTCAACTTAAAAAAACTCACAAATAACTATTATTAATTTCTTTAAATTATAGAATGTGCAAGTATCTGAATTCCCTGCCTGTCCGATTTGTCTATTTTCGCCTGTAGCAGGAAAAATGACTAAATGCGGCCACATTTACTGCTGGTCCTGCATCCTGCATTATCTTGCTCTGTCGGACAAGACATACCGAAAATGTCCGATATGTTATGAATCCGTACACAAGCAAGACCTCAAAAGGTAAAGAAACACTTTGGTTTGTTGGGCCTTATTTTCATTGAAATTTCATTACAGTGTTGTCGCGATTCCTCACCAAACGTTCAACGTGAACGAAACGATTACGTTCAAGCTGATGAAACGTCCTCGCGGTTCACTAATAGCATACCCTATCGACTTCGAAACGAAAGACGAAAACGTTATGTTCACGATGTCGGAAACGGACGCCGGCGACATCCATTCGAAGTTACTAACGGCGAATAGGAACGAAATCATGTCGATCATCGACAGGGAAAACGCGGAGTTGGTCGTTCAGATGAGCGAGGACGAAAACGCGCCGGAAAGGTGTTTCATCGAGGAGGCGATCGGATTGTTGGAAAACAGGGTGCAACAGGTGTTGGCGAAAACGCACGAGGCGAAGGCGAGTGTCGCCGAGTCAGTAGCGGAGACCGCGGCTTTGGAAAAGTTGGAGCAATGTTCGCTCAATGATTGCGATACTGATAATAACGATTCTGTGATCGAAAACGATATTAACAACGTCAATTCGAATATACAGCCATCGAAGTTTTATTATTTTTATCAAGGTGAGTTTATTGAAGACATTTTTATGGGACTTTTCTTAACCAATATAAGGGATTTCCAAAGTGTTGAGTACATGTTGCCCTTTTTAAATGGGTTCTGTGAAATTTTATCTTTGGAAAACTAATGCTTTTGGTACATTATTTGAGAATATGCCTAATTTTTACATGCTCTATGTTGTACCAAAACTACAATTTTTTATAATAAAATAAAAATAAATGACAAATAATGTGTTTTTCGCATATACAGGGTGCACCAAGTATCCTTCTAAAAGATTGGTTAAATTAGAGAAAATTCTATTATTATGGTACTTAAAAATTGGAAAAAAATCATCGGTTTTTAAATAATTTGGAACAAACTGAAAACCTATCAAAAATAAAAATCCTTATAACTTTTGTGATTTTTTTTGCCTACTAGATTTTGAGTTTTTTCTATGGCCGCCATATTTAAATTTTACATGGTTAGAACAAAAAATTTGGTAGAGAAAAAATTGGATGAAAATGAAGATTAATGTGAGTTTGCATGTAAAACTTATTTTTTTTTAATTCTCAGAAATAAGTTATAACGATTTTTGGTATTAAAATGTTTTTAGTTTTTTTTTTCAATTGTTTTGAGAACTGATTCTAATTTATAAATTTTATTTTATTAGGCTTGAAATTACGCAACTTTTCTCTAATCTGACCCTGTAGATATTTAAATAAAAAAATAATTATATGTAGATGTATTATGTGTAGAATACACATAGAAGGATATTTGGTGCACAATGTATTGGTAAAGTTTACTGATAAAATTTTCGATATTTTTTCGCTTGTAAATTTCGCAACTAGCAACTCAACTCGTGAATCAGAAGTGGCTTTAATTTTTATAAGATCACGACTCGTGATTATAAATGGCAGATAGAAATTATTTTTTTGATATATCCTATAGAATATATCAAAAAGCATATAATATGTCGATATTACCGATATCAATATTATATCGGATAAAATATATCGATATATAGAGTTTTTGGGGTTAGTGGTTAAATTGACTATTTTAACACTTTTTTTAGAATAACTTTTTTAATTTGAGGCATCGTTTTTTATATAAATGATTAGGCATTAAAATATGTTAAACATTTTAGGTTCCAATAAAAAAAATTAATAATTTTATTTAACCAACCAAAATAATATAATTTATTAGTAATAAATTATTACAAATATACCAAAAAAATATATAAATAATATTATATATTTTAACATTAACAGCGTTAATTGAAAATTTTAATAAAAATATACCTTTTCTGTTAATGTTAAAATATGTAATATTATTTATATATATATATAGCGTTACTATATTATTACTAAACCTTTTTTTTTAAATACCTACTGTAAAATAAAAAAATTTGATTGAAAGATTTCAACTTTCTTATACCGATATTTATCGATCTTTTTTATGTATCAAAAAATATATATCGATATTTTTATATCGAAATATTCTTAAATATATCATTATAAAAAATCGATATATCGTTGCCATCCATACACGTGATCCGCGAGCCGCCAGGCGACACCGTTTCTTTCACTGCCGATTCAAGTTCAAGTTGATTTTTCTTATAAAATCGCAAATTTTAGGACATTTTCAATTTATAAGTAAAAACGTCAAAATTTACGTCATTATTTTCCGCATAGTAACCAAACAAAGTTTTCAATGTTGACATCAAAAAACGTCTGGTGGTTTTTTCACTAGGGATGTGGTTTTATCGTATATAATACCACTACTGGTAAAATTTTACCGATAAAATTTTTGATTTTTATACGAATGTTTTTTTCTTGGAAATTAATGGCATTAATTTTTAAGACCACGAGCCGCTGGGCGAGTGGTTTTAAATTAATGCCACGAGCGAAATTCCCAAGGCAAAATCTTGAGTAAATAAAAATCAACAAATTTTTCACGAGTGGTATTTGGCAAGACTATTTCACGAATATTTTTTTTTAAATTAGAATTAACTGCCGATTCAATTTCTGTATGATTTTTTTTTAGCAAAACGCATATTTTTGACATTTTTATTTTAAAATTAGAAACGTCAACATTGACAATTATTTTTCGTATTCTCGTATAAACGAGTGGTTTTTTCGTAAGGGCATCTAATTTTTCCAAAAAATCGAAAAAACACGTTGCTAAGTAATATTTTAACAAGAAGCATGAGTGATGGTGGCAACAAAAATCCGAGTCGAAGACGAGGATTTTTGCACCTGCACGAATGCATTTTGTTACAAAATATTACTTAGCATTGTGTTTTTTCGATTTTTTTCACAAAAAAATTAGATGCCCGAATGGTATTTGACAAGACTATTTTATGAGTAACAGTTATTCTGCATACACATAGCTTACAAAACATACTACCTTTTATACATGCATACATAATAAATATGTAGGTATTAATTTGAAAACTGAAAAATAGGTAATTTATTTAATCTTAAAATACTACAAACATAATTATTCATGGTACAATTAAAATATAAATTGCAATTTTGGTGACAACAGCTGTCAAGTTTTGCCGCGGGTTTTTTCACCTAGAAACCATTTGTAATTCAAAATTGCGTGTTTGTGATTGGTGGAAATTAAGACGAGGGAAATAGTCACCTAAATAGTAGTTTTATTGCTGCAACTGAAAAAAACACTCGTTTTTTGAAATCTGATTGGTCCATAAAGTAATGAGTTGTAAAATTGAAATCTAATTGAGTGAAATGGTCATCTAAAATTAGTTTCAATTTTTCTTAGCGTCCGACGGTCAACACATCTATCTTCACGCTATAAACGCGCGCATGCTCGAACACACGTACGGGTCCCTAGAATTTGGCCCCAAGACCCTGAGCGGCAAAATCCTCGAGAAAGAGGGCGGTTCTATGACGGAGGAGCTGCGCAAACGCCTGCGCTGTCTGCAACATTTGCCCGTCACATGTCAATTCGAGGTGGCCGAGATCCAGCTCAGACAACCGACAGTCAACAGGGACACGCTGGAACATTTTCAAGGTGAGTTTGTATCTAAATATTAATAATAAATGCCTTTACTTATTGTAAGTTATTATATATTAAGCTAAGGTGATAAGATTAATATTAAGTTTGTTGTACCATATTTAGTATAGCGCATTTTGACAGTCAAAATTCTTGACAGAACTCATGATTTTGAAAATTTAAATTTTAACAATTTGACCATGTTTTTTATACCCAGCACAAATTTACCATTGTTATTATTTTTATGTAATAACAATCATATTTTGTGCTAGATAAAAGTGAGGATAATTAACCTAGTTGAATTAATGTATTCTTCAAGGTCAGTCCCCTCTACGACATTATAAAATATGTTTTTTTTATTTGTAAAATTCACTTTTTGACAAAATTTTACAAAATAATTTTTTTTAAAGAACAAATCGAGGTGAGAAAAAAGCGTCGCCAACGCAGGGCAAAGGAGGAGAAACGTCGCGAAAAGCGCATAGCCGAGGAGGAAAACCGGCAAATGGGCAAATACCCTGTTGCTAACATTCACCTGGAATCCTATCAGCAATTTCCAGGGTTCGAATCGCGCGCCAGGTGCGAATCCGAAACCACTCAGCTTAGCGAAGCTGATTCCTATTCGGAAGCTTCGTCGCCTGCTAATTTCGGCAGCTTGCCCAACGAAAATGCTTGCTGGGGACCATCTTTTGCCACAGTAAGTGTTGTTTAATTAATAATTATTATAATCAATTAATTCTAAATTATAAACAGTTTTACATTTCTTTCCATTTTATTTTTAAATAAATACAAAAAATGAAAACATTTTTATTCTGGAAGATTTATTATAATTGTATTATTTGTATTCTAATTATTTGATATTTCTTATTAACCAAGATGATATTTTTTTAGATATTCTGTCCTAACTAGAGTTTTTAAATTTTCGGAAAAATTGGTAAATTTTCAGAAAAATTGACTTGGCCATTTCAAACGCACGAATTACAAAACTATTTTATAAAAAAAAATTGTAGATAATTTATTATATAATATTTTAGCATCAAAATTGGCAAAAATATTCTTCTTTTATTAGGCTATACATTAAATAAGAAAAACGCAAGAAATATTTTATAAAAGTAGAGATAAATTTAATAATTAAAAAGCTTGGACTGGACAAAAAAAAAGATTTATCTTGTCCCGTCCACACCTGTCAATTATTATAATTATCTCTACTTTTATAAAAATATTTCTTGGATTTTTTAAATTTAATGTATAGCCTAATAAAAGAAGAATATATTTGACAATTTTAATGCAAAAATAATATATATACCTAATATAAATTACCTAAATTTTTTTTACTCAAAGAAAAAGGAAAAGGAAAATTTTCTGAAAATTTCAAATTTTTACAGATATTATCCGTACACTGATATCGAGAAAAAAGTGAATTTTCGACGTTGATTATAATATTATGGTTATAATAATTATTGCTATTATTTTAATTCAGTAATAATATTTATACCATGCTTATTATTTTAAGTTTTTCTAACAAATTATATGAACTGTTTTTGCACAATTTTACCATTGTTATTATTTTTTTGTATAATAGCAATCATATTTTGTGCTAGATAAATGTGAGGATAATTAACCTAGTTAAATCATTGTATTTTTCAAGGTCAGTCCCCTCTACTACATGAAAAAAACACACAGTGTGTGTACTAGTGATTTTTTAGATTTGCATTGCCAAAAATGCATGCAAATATTGTTAGGACCAACAATTTCTAGATCAATAATGACATAAATTGATTCCACACGCAAATAATTTATGCAAGGCGGAAAAACGATAAATGATCAAAGAAAGATACTATTAATAAAACTTGATTAAAAATCAATTCAATTAAAATAATATTTATTTCTCTTCAGTTAAAAAAATATAAAATATTTTAATACTTTATATTTGTTGGTCCTAGCCGTGACTGATTGGCGAGTGAGTTACAAGGAATTTGTGATATGATACAAAAATTTAGGAAAGTTTAAAATTAGAGCGGCCGCCATATTGAAATGATTTATTTTTATATCTTTCTTACTTATGCACAGACACTCATTTTTTACGCCACAAACATACAAGCAAATATCGAATTTTTTAGACGGTTATGGATCTTCATATTAATATTAAGAACTCACATTTGGTGAGCACTTTTTAGAGGTGCCTAAGAACGAATTTTTCAGTGTCGGAAGTAAAGTATTCTTAACAAAACAACAATGGAGCTCCATAGCGAAACTTTCTGCGATTACAATTAAAGAATCTACTTGCGAATCAACTAAGAATGAAGGCACCAGAACTTGAAGAATTTATACAAATACCTTCAAGTTAACTGAACAAGGAGACAAGGAAGAAAGTAGAACCAAAACCTGAAATTGACGGTAAAGAACTCTCCGATATACTTGATTTTGTGGTGGAAATGGAAGAACTCGTCGAGAAGACACGTTTACTAAGACAACAAAACAATTTCAGGTGCAACAGAATGCACCTGGGTATTTTTTCAACCAACAGTACTACAGACCACCCATGCATATACAATAGTAAAGTATTCGATTTTTTTAATCACCCTATAGGCCTAGTAAAATTTTTTCATTTTATTCAAAGGGTACCTAGTCCGAAAAAAATGCAAAAGGAAATTTTTCTGAAAATTTGCAAATACATATTTACATTTAATATTTTTATTATTTATTTTATAGTATTTATTAAATTAATACATACAGTAGAAACCACTAATATATGAACGTGACTCATCCGACACATTCGTACGAAGCAATCTATCGAAGGTCACGGTCCAGTGTAGTCCCGTTTGTAAAAAAAATTGAGTGTAATGTTGGTTGCTATACTTATGATATATTTGCTTTTAAAGTTAAATAATTAACATCTAACATAATTAACATCTACGATAATTAAATAAAATGTAATTTTCTTAGAAACTAATTAATAAATAAACTTTTCTTTTAACTTTAATGAAATATTCTATCATCTGATGACAGAACGTCAGGGTTGGGTCAGTAGAAAACCTTAGGTAATTTACCTTGGTAGAAAAGGGTAGAAAACTTGTTTTCGACTTGCGTCGAAAACCTATAGGGTTTTCTACCTACGTAAATTACCTTATTCGACCTTCTCCTTCCACTTCTCTATAATTGATAAAAATTTGCCCTCATGCCAAAAATTATGTTGGGGTCTCCCAACCAAACGCGGCCCTTTTTTTCCCACCATAATAATGTTAAAAAACTCCAAATAACTTCAAATTTATGGTAGGTGTCTGATTTTTCACAACATTTAACAAATCATAATAAACAACAAACTTGCATAACCTCACATCTTTTGATATTTGACAGTATTCTACTTTTTTACGTTTTCTACCGTCGAAAACGTCGAAAAAGGTTTTCTACATGTCGAAAACAAAAATGTAGGTAGATACCCAACCCTGCAGAACGTACACTCGTGGCGACATCTCTGATTTTAATAACAAATTTTTAGACCGATCCAACCTCACTTTCTTCCAATTAAATTCTTAGTATAGTCTGAAACACGTTTGGAATTGCATATTCCCCTCTCGTGAAACCGTCAAACTTGTTACAGAATATACTATTCTTTTAACTGTAAACGCAAATATTTCAGAATTGGTGACAAAAAACAAAAATGTTTACGCAGGTCAGGTACAAAGTGAAATATTTAAATTGTGTGGATATAAAAACAACTTGCGTTAGTTTCACGAAATTTATTAAATATTGACAATTGTTTCGCTACACAGTAGCTTCTTCAGAATGTATTAAACTAATACTAGTACAAAATTTATATAATAAAAATATTTTTTTATTCTAGCCTAGAATTTCTAGGTAAGGATTTTTATACGACATCTACCTGTGTTACATAATATAAAACACTGCCACTACAACGTTTAAAACGATTATTAATCCGTAAACACACAGTAGAAAAACTATATAAAAAAACAAAGATCATATGACATATAAAAACAAATGGCCGACGGTAAAGTTGGTTGCCTTACTATGTAATAAAATAAAATAAATGCCTAAAACACGAACTCTACTGACTTCCAACAAAATTAAGTAACAAGCTAGGACACAAGCGTCATATGTCCATCTTTGTCCAACACCTAGACAGTTTTACATCACAGATGGCGCATTTTAGACCGGATGCTTAAAAACCTACGTGTGAGTACATTTACCGCTGCATCGAATGTACAAGACAAGTAAAACATTACTGCTAGCATGTCTGAGATATGTTCGGCACCCGATGAATCACGTTCATATATTAGTGGTTTCTACTGTACCTTAGAATGACAAGGTCAGCTGCACTGTTAAGCAATTATCTACAACTGACGTTTTCTTAAACCAATAAAATTCAATTCGATGTTTCTAATCTAATCATGTAAAATTTCAATATGGCGGCCATAGGAAAAACTCAAAAACTCCAGTAGGCGAAAAAAATCACAAATTGGATAAAAATTTAGATAAATGTGCTAAATTTACAACGATTTTTGGTTTTCAGTTTTTTTAAATTATTTAAGAAGCGCTGATTTTTTTATACAAATTTTAAGTGCCATTTAAAAAGACTTGTGATTACGCGACTTTTGTGTAATTTAACGGACCCTGTATATGACTTTATGAACATTTTTCTCATTTTTACTGAAAAAACCCTTTTTTTACCAGATGCTATCCACTGAAAAAAAGCAAAAACCTCCATCTTGGCCAAACTTACTGTCATCATCGTCATCATCGAGAGAGGACGCGCCCAAACTGATAAACGTCACTGGACGCCGTATGACGTCGCAAAAGGCGGCAAACGGCGACGACAGCGACTGCGATCTTGAGGGATTCGAACCCATCCAGTCGTTGAACAGAAACTTGGGAGACGCTATCATGCAGGCCCTGCAAAACGTTGATATCGTAGAGGAAGGTACGAAAAAGCTTTTTTGTCATTTTTGTGTTTTTTTTTATTATTTGTCGTTTTAAGTATATTAATTATTAGAATCTAGAAAAATCGTAATAAAAATACTATGTAAAAAAAAATTGGAATATTTGTGGATTATCTAAAATCTATAGATTATCCACAAACATTCTAATTCTTAGTTAATTAATTTTTAGTTATTTTTATTAAAACCCCAAAAAATTAAATTAAAGGTTTTTAATATTTTTTTTAAGTATACAAACCTTTTTTATTCGAATATTTCGAACATTTAATTTAATTTTTTTGTTGATTATGTTTTCAAAACCATTAAATTTTGTTCTGCACTGTATTTTTTGTCACATTGCAGAATATTGTGGAACTCTGCTGCATTGTCATTATTTTTTGTTTTTTTTTAGATTTCCCTTCATCATCAGGCAAAAAAAAGAAGAAAAAGAAAAATCAAAAGGTGCTATTTACAACTAATGTGGCTATTTCAGGAAATAAATACTAAAAAAATAAATTTAAAATTTACCGTGATTTAATTTTTTTATATGTATATAAAAAAACTTTATTATTTGTTAATAAATTATGTAAACCAATGCTTCAAAAGCTTGTAATAATAATTATTATGACTTATTTATAATTTAATTATCTTTTGATTATATTTATTTATGAAATAAATAAAATACAGGGCGTTAATTTGAGTTTTATTTTAATTAGGGTACTAAATATCAAAAGCTAAGAGTAATAAAACACAATATAGGAAGTTATTTACATTTTAACGTAATCAAACATAAAGGAACATCCTAAACACCATTTTCTGATGTGGTGTGCTTATTAGAACCTCTTTTATTTTTCTACGATGTGGCTCCCGTCCAGAGGCGGGACTTAACTTCGATCCCGACAGTCGTCACACACTGTAAATCCGTTTTTATTCCCTGAGCTTTTATAATTGGTGTCAAGCTGGATGGCTTAGATGGTAGGGCGGTCGCTTGGCATGCGAGAGGTACCGGGTTCGATTCTACTAGAAGTTGTCAAACTTTTTTATTTAATAAATTTGTTGTTTTTTTGTTAAAAAGTGTTTTATTTTTATCGTAACATAAATTTGCCCATTTTAGTTGGGTTTTTTGCTCAATGGGGCGGGGGGGGTTTTCAATGGGGCGGGGTCGGTTGGGTTGTGTTGTTGAGTTTGGGTTGGTTTGGTTTTATTACGTAACTAACGTGCCCTTAACATGTATACATAGGTAGTACCTGTCAGGTACAATTTATTATTATTTTATTATAACAACAAATCTTAAAATTATGACGTCAATCGGGACTGAACTTAAGTTCCGCCTCGGGACGGGAGCCACAGCGATTTTTCTATGGTCAAAAGAAATGTCTAAATAAAAAATATATAAATTTGTCTATGCTTTTATGGTCTATGGTTCGTCAGGAGACGTCAAAAACCTAACCCCACTTCTTTAACCTAACTTTTTACGTAACTCCAAAAACCTGTTAAAATGTCCGAGGAAAAGAAAGAAGACGCTAAAAACAGTACAGAAAATAAAGACGATAAAACCAAAGACACCCCAGAAAGATTAAAAGACGATTGGATGGTTATATAACAATATTTACTTATAATTGAATTTTAAAGTTTATGTTTGTAGATCAGAAAATGTTCTTTATATGACGATGAATACAGCGATTGTACGTCAATTAAAGGGAGGTTTAATCAGTATTTTATTTTTGGGGATCCTTTAGACTGCACACAGTGGAAAATAGATTCGAAAAATTGTTATAAATATGTAGACAATAATGATTTTAAAGCGGGTGTAAGTTTACACTAAAAGTAATAATAATATGTGTTATATTTATAGTTTAATTTTAGGAAGAGTTAATAAAAAGTGAAAAAAAACGAAGATTACAAAGACTATTACCCCATTATGCCAATGATGTTTGGGAGCGAAGAAAAACCCCACCTGAAGATTGGAATAAACCGTTACCTGAACATATGTTAAAAGAATATGAAGCCACATATTTAAACGTTAAATCCAAAGAATTAAAAGGGGAAATTCCACCACAATTTGATACTAGCTTTAATGGATTAAGTTGTGTAATATTATGATGTTAACCAATGTAAATATGTAAATAAATGATGGGTAAATTGTATCGTTCTTAAAAGGAATTGACTTTAAAAATTGTGTAATTATTCATTTGTGGTTTATTTTGCAATCGCGATTTTAAAAACAAAAATTGAGAAAAATATTTGTTTGTAAAATTTACTTCAAAAAGCATTAGGCTTTTAAAAAACCTATTTTTGTAAAAAAAAGTACAGCTTTTAAAACTAAATTCGACAAAAGATTTAAGCTGAGTTTATGCTCAATAAAAATAAGAAATAAAAAATAAGAAATAAGAAATAGGAAATAAGAAATAGTTTCATTTGTTGTCATTTATGTCGGAAAAATAATAAAAATAAGAAATAAGAAAAATATGCGAAAGTGAGGTTAAAATTGATTGTTTGACAGTTCCCAAAGCGTTCGTTTCTGGTTTCTTTGGTTGGTTTGTTCTGTGGTAATCTTTTAAAAATGAAAATTAGAATTAAAAAAATGTTATTGCTTACAACAGCATTTTTACTGTTGCAAAAAAGAATTGTTCGTAAGAAACGGGCTGCGAGGCGGTACCAGTGTTGCCAGATATTTTAAAGTCGAGGCGCCAATTTTCGAGTGAGATATCGCCCAAAAGCGCCAACAAAATTGCAATCAGCGCCAACGTTAGATTGGTAAATTAAATTCTTGTAACGGTTAATTCGAAAAATGCATTAAAAATACTTAAACACACCAGTTTAATATTTTTATAGATAAAGACATTTTTCTTGATAGTAAACAATTTTATTATTATTTATGAAATATACAAAAATAAATGTTTAATATTATTAAAAATAAATAAAAAAATAAATAAATTTAAATATGGCCTACTGGCATTCAAAATAATAAGGAATAGAAACTGTTCCTATTCATTATTATTGTGAATGCTGGTAGGCTATATTTATTACTAATATTATTACTGTTAAGCCGGCTGCACAACATCCCAGTAACGGAAAGGGGAAAAAAGTTAGCTGTCCAATCAGAACTCATATTTCAATTTCAATTTCTTTTACTTGAATTCAAATTTTGACCGCACTCACCTCTAATTATAAAATTACATTTTTTTACACATATACACTTGATATACTTACCCAGTAAGTATATGTGTTTACCCTACATCTATGATTATTATTTGTGGTGATCGCTGCTAATATCTATAAGTATTAAATACAGGCAGCTGCAATCTGAAGATATATTTTAAGTAAAGTTTAATTCGAAGAATTTCCAAAAGAGCAATTTATTTCTTTAGAAATCGCCCAAATTGCGGTTTGCGCTTTTTATAAAAAACTAGGCGCAAATTATTTCTTAAAACCGCCCAATTGGCGCTAAAGCGCCCAATCTGGCAACACTGGGCGGTACGCATTCGACCGCTAAATCGTAGGTAATCGCAGGTTTACGGGAAATTTTTAAAGTAATTAAACAACACAACAATTAAGAATTAACTATTAAAATAACACAAAAACAATCCAAAAACACTAATTATTGTACAAACAGTAATTAAACAACACAACAATTGAATAGGTCAATGCAGAAACTGAATATGTCCACTTTTTAGGGATATTGAGTTAAACATGGATTTACTATAAGTGCCCGATCGAATGGCGTAGAAATTTCACATGTCACGGTAATCTAGATTATACAAAGGCGTTAATATAGTAGAGAAACTGAATATGTCCAGAACATGTCCACTTTCTGTTCAGTTTTTCTTATTTATCTCAAAACTAGATAGGTAGGACATATTCAGTTTCTGCATTGACGTATTCAATTATGAATTAACTATTGCACAAAAGTATTTGCGAATTTCCCGGGCGAAACAAAAACCTGTCAGCTGATGACGAAAATAAATCCTTTGCGCACAAAAATACGCAGAATAAGAATCTTAAGTTGAAAATTGCCAACTTTTATTTTTATTTCTTATTTTTTATTTCTTATTTTCGTGAGCATAAAGTGATGTTAGCAATTATAAACCTTTAACTTTTATTTTTATTTCTTATTTTTTATTTTTATTTCTTATTTCTTATTTTTAGTGAGCATAAACTCAGCTTTATTATTTGCATAATCATTTTTTTCTTATCGCTTTTTCTGCGCCAGTTGAGTTAGACAAAGGCCTATTACTTTTACAACACATTTTTGCACTCAAATCTTCATCTTTATGGCGCGTCTATCGATTATTCAGTTCCTTCAACTTCCTTGAATGACGCTCTTTCTACACTTCGTAGGTCTATGGTGTCGGTTTCGGCAAGTGCACAATGTTTTTACTACGTTGGTAGTTCCAATAAAACAGCCAATTGTTTTTAGTCTTTTTAGATCTGGGCAGGCGAATGACTCACGAATGAAAATCTGTTATTTTTTATCAATTGTTTTTCGCGACAAACCGTGTATAAAAAAGTTATCAAAGTACAAATATACATATCAGGCAGTGCAAACAACGATTGTTAGTGTTCGTTCCGATAGTTATAAAATAATAATAATTAGATTCTGTGATAGTTTTTAATAATGTCTAACGACAAGGACTACTTGACTGCGTACCGGGAGTTTTTCGAGGATTTCGAGAAAACTTTAAACCCCAACGATCAACTTCCTGTTAAGTTAGGATGTTACAAGTTGTTGAACGTTGAAGTTGTAGGGGGGATCATCGACTGGACCACACAGTATTTAACGCAAAAGTAAGTTAGAAACAATTTGTTTAAACAAACCAATCACAGTCATATCAACCTGCCGTAGTTTGTTGTCAAACTCGATTTGAATCAACTGACTAGATCTGAAAATAAACAAATAAAACCTGTGACAGTTAATAACTTTATAAACAAACATAATTTGTTTTGTTTTTTATTACGTTTATAGCTTTACTTGTCTTTTTATTTTGTCCAGTAGGTACATGTTACATTTTACTAAAATTTACTAAATTTACATTTTACTAAAATCTATCACAACAATTGTTTAATTATAAGTCCGTCATGATGACAGTGTCATCTGATTAATCAGATGACACTGTCATCATGACGGACTTATAATTAAACATGTTATTTTAACTGTCAAAGTTTGTTGTCAGACTATTAAATTTTGTTACTATATAGGCTTTGTTACTATATGTTTAGGCTTTGTTATCTATGATATAGATCTAATTTGAAAACAAACAAGATAGATGACAACTAATTTGGTCCAGATTTATTTTAAATTTATTCAAGTTCTTGCATTCCCTACACATGTTTAAACGGTTTGAATGAATGCCAATATAAGTAACTATAGTAAATAAATAATGCAACTTCTAGTAAATAATTATGAATCAATTTATAAATCAACTCAAGTTTAAATTTAGTGAGTTTTAAATAACACCTACGCAATCAACAATAATAAATTATTAATAATTAATAGTAAGTTACCGTTGGTCGGTAAAATTCTATTTTTATCACATCTACTTATACCGGTATTTAAAGTAATTGATATGGCCCGTGTTTTAAATTAATTTATATAATCGCCCTTTTAAGGTATATCTATAGATTCTAAAGAAACTCTTCAAACGTATGCGTTTGAAAAGTTTCTATAAATTGTCTTTAAAATTTAATATTTTATTTTATGGGGCATCAGACACATTCACAAATAATTTCAGATTTTTTTACAGCACAGATTCAAAGACAATAATAGTTAGGTACATTTGTTTTACAGTTTATTTATTTATATCTTACGAGCTCGCTCATGAGATTTCAATAAAAATAAACTAATACCTAATCAATTTATAAGCAATCAACATGATCCTGTTTCTCGAGTTTGGAAACAAATTTTTGAAATAATCCATGGAAAATCTGTGGGAAATAACACTTCTTGCACAAGTATGATTTTCCATGTACCTATTCTTTTAAAAATTAATTTTTAAACTAAACCAACAAAATATGATTACTTATGTGGATGGCTTAAAAATTGATTATTACAGTAAACTTTTAAAGGAAATCTCAAAAAAACAATTTTTAGCACTTTTTAAAATTGCCTTTTCAAATTGTGTGCTGCCAACTTACAAAACACAAAAATATGAGAGTTTTAATCCTTAATTTTGCCATTATACTTATCAACATATTTATAACTATTTTTACCTATAGGTACCTATAAGAAGATTAGGTATATTACCTAATACCTATATTATATTATATTATATTGTAATGTTGTTTTTAGTTTTTAATAATAGTATATTACTCGGTATATTATTATACGAGAGATAATGCAGGCTAATATTCACGAGGATGAGGTTTACGTCTCGAGTCCCCAGACGAGAGACCTAAATCATCCGAGTGAATATTGCGCATAATCTCGAGTGTAATACTATACTTTATCTACTCCAATAAGTATATAATTAAATGATTTTCAAAATTAAATAAATAAAATCTGACAAATTAAATAAATAAAATCTGACAGATCGATGCGTCTGTCAAATGGTGAACCTAACTTTTTACCAACTTTAAATGTTATTATAGTCGCCTTCTTCCAATTTAAAACCCGATTGGTTCAAATCAAAGTGAATACTGAAATCGGCCAATCACTGATGCCTAACAACGTGAATAATGAGTTTATTATTCACGTTGTTAGGCAGGAAATTTATAATGCTTTACAATATTCACGGAAAAACACCAAAATTATGCAATAGGAGTAGATAAAAACTTTTTATTAATAGCTGCTTAGTTAACTAAGAAAAAAAAGAGAACATAACACCTGCACTTTAAAGAGGTGGCGGACCCTCCAAACATTGTTCGATCAAAATCATTTTTTTTTCGTTAATTGTGATAATAGTTTAGGTACCTATTACTTTTCCGAATATACCTAGTCTAAATTCGGCTAAATTTAAAGAAAAATGAAAACGAAAAGTTTTAAAGATGAAAAAACGCGTGTTTTATAAATCGCCGTGACTAGAAGTACACCGGGAGTACGGGCATTAAACGTACATCAGGTTTGTGCGCATGCGTGTTTCCGTATACCAGCTGATGGTAAAATTTCGGATTTATTAGTTGAGATTAAATTGGTACACTAAGGCCCAGTTGTATAACAGTTGGTAAACAGCTGGTTAACTCTTGATATTAATTATGTAATTATAATTAATAATATATTAAGCTAACTTTCAAGTTGTATAAACATTGATTAAAATTTAATTAAGTGATTGAAATACAATTAACAACAAAATTAATGAAATGTCAGTATGAATTACCCAAACCAACCCAAACTCAACAACCCAACCCAACCGACCCCGCCCCATTGGGCCCCCCAAATAAAAAACTATTATAAAAAAACTCGAAAAATAATATTTTCTTCACAGAATTGCTGTAGGTAATTTGAAAAATATTCTTTTGACTAGGTATAAAAAGTGATAAAACAATTTAATAACTCGATTTCAATAACAGTACCTACATCAACTTTAATTAAACATAATTACGCTGTTATTACATATTATGTTGTTATTCACTGTTGCTTTTATTATTAAAAAATGAACAGATGTTTAAATAAAACCCAACAAAGCTTGAAACCAGAAAATTAACAGAACATTATTTCTTAAATTACTTTTGCGTTGTTATTTTTGCAAAACTACCGCCCTGCCCTTAAGATGAGAAAAATCGAGTAATCCTTGTTTAGGAGAAATTGGGTCTCGGTGTTGCCAAGTCGTAAAACAAAAATCGATATTTGGCGATGCAAAGAAAACCGTTAAAACTTAAACAATTATTAACATTGATTAGTAGAAATATACGTTGAATTATAAGAAATAAAATATACTTCGATTTATAATCGTTTGTTGTTTGCGGTTTTCGCTATATACAGATAACATTCTGACGTTTATCGATGTAAGTCCGGCAACGTTGTGTCCGTGCGCAGACAGACCGCCTACTTATTCATTAGTTATGCCGGCCTGCTGTCAATATTTTCTGTTTGACTCGATTTAAGTGATTTAAGTTTTGTGATTTATATGGTAAGTTGTCCGATAATAATTAAAAACGTGCGTTGATTAATTGTGGACGTATCGTTTTGAGCATATTCGCGGGTTTTCTAACCTAATCGGTTTTTTTACTTAGGTAAATATTGATGTAAAATGAACTGGATTGAATGGAGGCCTCAGGAGAACATTTTGATTTCTATAAAGGAGGTTTTGCAAGAGGCTCTGATCCCAGACAGTGAAATACAGAAAAACGTTCAGGATAAACTAACCATAATTCAAAATTTGACAGATTTTGACTATTATTTACTATTCATACTAAGAAATGAAAATTATTCAGAGGAGGTGAGATCTCTTAGTGGAATTTTATTGAAAAACAACATTTCCCATGTAACACCTGAAAACATTATCAAACTACGTGAAGAATGCTTAAATTTACTAAAAGATTCATGCAGAGAGGTTCGACAAAGCATATCAAACATAATCATAATGATAGCAAAAGACAGACTAAAAACATGGCCAGAATTGGTCACACACCTCCTGAAAATGTTCATGTGCCAAGATGAATTCAGCGAAATAGCTTTAACAACTCTATTTCGAATCTGTGAGGACCTCATAGCCAGTCAAAAACCACAAGAAGAAATATTCAGCCTTACCAAAGAAGTATTTCCAAAATTCACCAGTTTCATCGGGGAAGAAAACTGCAACATCCAGCAGGAAATCATCAAACTTACCAATCAATTCCTGCAGGACTACTTCCAAATTATGAGACAATCAATTGATTTAAATCAGTATCTCAGATGTGTGATCAATTTGGCAAATACTAATGATATTGAGCTGCAAAAACATGTGTGCCACACATTTGTGATATACGTTGATAATCAGGAGGAATCAGTGTTGCCGTATTTCCATGATGTGATTCTGTATTTAATGGATAAATCGCAGAGTGAAGATCAGGAGTTGGCCTTACAAGCATGTGAGTTTTGGCTTGCTACAACTAAATTGAATAGTTGTAAGGAGATTTTGACGCCTTACATTGAAAAATTACTTCCCATCTTACTGAAGAACATGAAGTATTCAAAGTATGAGTTGAACATCATCAAGGATAGTTTGGGGCAGGATTCTAGCAATCAGGATTTAGCCAAGGACATAACTCCGTTTCACTTTCGAGATAAAAACTCTCATCAAGACGATTCTGACGACGATACTGAGGAGCAAAGCGACGATTTTGACGATTTTTACATCGGTTGGACCTTACGTAAATGTAGCGCGGCTTCTCTCGATTCGCTCGCGGTAAAATTCGGCGACGATCTGCTCACAATTTTAATCCCATTCCTAAACGAAATTTTGAACCACCAGGACTATCTCATAAAAGAATCCGCGATATTGGCACTGGGCGCCATCGCCGAGGGGTGTATTAACGGTCTTAAACCACACTTACCTTACTTAGTACAGTTCCTAATTTCTTCGATGAACGAAGATCAATCGGTTGTGCGTGTTATAACATGTTGGACTTTAAGCCGCTATGTAAACTGGATTGTTAACTCCGAATCATCACCGCAAGTTTATTTTCTACCTTTGATGACGATACTGTTAAAACACTTCACTGATGATAACAAACGCGTACAGAGAGCTGCTTTATCGGCTTTCTGTATATTCGAGGAGGAAGCCCAACTTAAATTAATACCATATATCGATTATATTCTTGAAGGGTTTCATTTAGGCTTCCAGAAGTTCCACTACAGAAGTTTGTACTTACTATACGATGCCATAGGTGTTTTGGCTCAGTCGGTGGGAAATTTTTTGAGCAAAGAGGAGTATGTAACCAAACTAATGCCACCGTTAATGCGAAAATTCACCGAGTGCGAGAATTATTGTGATGATCATTTTATAGCTGTATTAGAATGTCTTTCCAATCTAATTCCAGCACTGGAAACATCATTTTTACCGTACTCCGAAGTCGTATACTGTCATTGTTTACAATTAATCAACGATACCTTAATGGCTTCTGTTAACTATCAAGAGCACCCAACTGAGTGCGATCCTCCTGATAAAGAGCCCATGAATGTTGCCCATGATGTTCTCTATAGCATGGCAATGGGGTTAAAAAGTCATTTCATTAAATACGTAACGAATAGCAATTTAATTTGTCTGCTCTATACTACAATGCAAGATGGTTCCAATCTAATACGACAAACTTCTATAGCTTTATATGGCGAGTTGGTAATGTTATGTTTTCCATTCCTTGCCACAAATATAAGTGATTATATTCCACTAATAGTAAAAAATCTTGATGAACATTGCGATGGTGTTTGTAATAACGCAGCATGGGTTATAGGGAAGTTATGTGGGGTTATGGGCAGTAATATTAAACCATATTTAACCGACATTCTAGCGGCTTTTATTCATATCTTAAAAAGCCCAGCCATACACCGAACCATGCACAAGACTGTTGCGATTTCTTTATGTACTGTTTTTTATGTTTGTCCTGAAGTAAATGTACCTGATATGGATGTCGTGATAAAAAGTTGTTGTATGTTGATTAGGAATGTAAGGGATTCGGAGGAAAAAGATTTGGCTTTCAGAGGGTTGTGCGAGGTTGTATCGAGAAATTCTGAATTCAGAAAAACTACCTTTATATACTTTTGCGACGCTGTGGCGTCGTGGAACAATCCTAAGATAGACTTATCGCAAATAATCCAGAGCGTCTTAAAAGCCACCAAGGAGCAGTACGGAGAGGAAAAATGGGGGTTGTTTTACTCCCAATTTCCGGAACCTCTCAAGTCCAAACTACTAAATCTCTACGGGGTTTGAGAACTACGTTATTTAACTGGGGAATTCTTTCAATTGTTCTATTAATCTGGGTGGGAAGGCTTGAGTGCACCTGCCTTAAGTTGACACGCGAAATATTTCGACATATATAGAATCGTCCGCGAGGGTGGGTCCGATGTGATAAACATAAGAAACTTTAGAGTCACGCGATTTTTAGGAAAAACGGTCATTTCGCGAAAAGTCGATCGTAGCGCTTTCCCGAAAAGAAAGCGAAGCTGACTGATGTAGTCGTTTTGGTCCAGACAATCTGATTCAACACATTTTTGGATGGATGTTTGTTTTTTGCAAATATCTTTGTATTGACCTGGTGATATTTTATTTATATAAAAAAAACTAAGTTTAAATAAATTTTCAGAAAATACTTAGATATTTGCAAAATATAACCTTTTATATGATACAAACTTTTTTAGATAAACTATTATTTTTTTGGACCACATAGAAACAATATTTTTATATTTACTATTTTGCTCTTGCTGAGAAACTACTTACAATTTATACAGGGTGTTTTATATTCCAATTAGTTAATATTTTAGTTTTTTCCTTTCGATCGACTTGTCGTGATATGATTTAAAAGTTATTTTTTTCTGCCGCGTCAGTTTTTTCGGTAACCGTTTTTTATTATTTTGCGTCATTTTTTGAATGGGTGATATTTTTTCTTTGTAAATTAATGCCGGCATTAATTAAAAAATAAATGGGAAATTGCATGTTAGTAAATAAATAAAAAAAACCTAGCCAAATTTGTCTGTGACACTTTTTTGCTGTTTTTTTAGTTTGTAATAATTTTTGGTTTTTCCACTTTATTACTTATTCAAAGCAATATGTGGAATTACTGGTTTTGTTTTTTTGTTGGATTACTTGTTTTGTCTGTACATTGTTTTTCAATTATGATTTTTTATGTATTATTTTGTATTTCAATAAATAATTTAGAACCATGATTTGGATTTATCATTTTTACAAGTTATTCCTTTTTTTGCATTATTTTTTTCAGCACAAAACACCCCGTGTTCAAAGAAAATGTACCAAACTGTGATATAATATGAAAAGTATATGACCTGTTCTTAGTTGTAAGACTGAATGTAAAAAGAACCTTTAGACTGACAATGAGTTAAAAAAACATCTCCAAATTATTGTAGTTTTGAAAATAAATGTTGAAATTCGGTTAATCTTTTATTAAAATTTTAATTTGGTTTATTAAGCAATTTTTATAATTATTTTGAGTATATTTTTATACCCAGAAATTATATTTTATTTCCAAATACAATACATTTTCTATGTTCAATTTATTTAATATTATAAGGTAAGTGGAAAAGAGTTTTAATTTTTTTGTATGTATATTAAAGTTCTTTTTTTGTTTTCCTTTCAGAAACTGCCCTCCACATTTACTTGGTGTTATTGTCAAAATGGTGATTGAAGAAATAAGAAAATCTTGTAAAAAGCAACCCCTGGACTGTGGATTTAATCCTAGAGATAATGGTAGGTCCAAATATGTAATCTGGGTATTATTTTTTATTTTTCACTTAGCTGTTATTTTGTCAGAATGTCTTGAATACGAGATATGTAAATGCATCCATAACAACTGATGCGTACTGAAAGGGCGTAATGGATAACATTATTTTTTTTCCGTTTTTAAGTAACTAAGGGCGTAATGGATTTATTACACCCTCATAAAATAACTTTATCGATAATGAAAAATATAAAAAATTGTTTCACTATTTGTCTATTTATATTCTGTGGTGTGACGCCTACATTAACTTAATATTTTTAAGGGATATTTAACAGAATGTCAAACATTTTTCTAAAAAAATAAAAGAGATGTTTTTCTCTCCAGGTTGGGTGTATAGACAGTATTTAATGTATTTTGCTAGTATACCATTCTGGAAGTGAAAAATAATTTAGGCAAAAAATTTGAAGAAGTATTATTTTTTGTAGTCATATTTCATCCTCTACATTTTCTTGCAAATCAAACAGCAACAATGTTTTTGGGATTGTCATGTAGGTATTATAATAAACCTTAAACAAAGATATTTAGTGTTTTTCCAGCTAAGCCCACATTGTTTTGTTTTAATAAAACACCAACGTCATCACTTATTATCATATTATAATCACTGTGTTGCTAAATTATCCTATTAAAACGGCACGCTAGATGGAACATAAAAAGTACAGTCTCTAACAAAGTATTGCCCTCTTGAATCCTGCTGGTATAAAACACCTAATTAGTTTTTAATTTGTTTACCAATTCGTTTAACTAAAAAATAGGGTTTACTAGTTTACTGACCTCATAAAAAATAATTACGATTATGTTTTTTACTCTCCTAGTGTACCGGAAGATTATATATTTTTAGGTCTGCGCTTCCGTATCCGCTACAATATTATGTATTATTAAATTATTCATGATAACAGTTATCATGAATAATTTAATAATACATAGTATTGTATTACTGTATTATGCGTTATTTTCTGAATTTTAAATACATTATTGTTCAAAATTAGTTAAATGAGCTTTTAAATATAAAAAACTAGAATTTGCCGTGAGTAATATTTTAAGTGGTTCTAATTTATAAAAAAAACAAGGTTAAAATCAATAGAAGCACAAATAAATAGTTTTGCAACAAGAAACCAACTCTTGCTTTTGGCAAACTAAGGTAATAGCTTCCGAAAATTTCTGTTGTTAAGTAATGAAGATGCTTTGCTAATTCTAGGTTGAACGTTTTCGCTAAATGTTGTTTCGCTGGTGATTATTGCCTATAGAGAGTTGGAATTGACCAGCTAAACTGGTTAGCAAAGCTTAGACGACAGTCAAATATTTCTTATCCAAGCCGGCTTGCTAGGCTAATATGTCTAATTCGGCTAATAGTTAACCAGTAATAAACTACAGATTACTGAAGTATACTTCAGCAATCTGTATAATAGAAATGAAAAAGAAAAATACCAAAAGATATGAAAATTTTAAACTTTTCTCTGTTCAATTAATAAAAAAAGTAATAATATACAGTAGGTAGGTATGTTTCCTGATTGTGTTTACAAGAGGGTAAACATGTTTTAGTTTTGGGTTTTTAACGAAAAGTCATACCTGATAAAAAAAAATATTTGTCGAAAAAATATTATTGAAATAAAAAAAAATCGGATTTCATCTACAGGGTGCTTAAAAATTAGGAATTCATTAAAACGATTCAAGAGAGAACATTTAAAGGTTAATTAAAATAAATTTATTTTTAATTTTTTTTATTTTTATATGAAAAAGTTGTTTTTAATTTTAAAAGAAAGTTGCAATTATAAAGTTGCAAAACCATGGTTTCTCTCTGGTTTTTTAGGATCGAGGTTATCTATACAGGGTGTAACCAAATAAGTTATCAGATTTTGAAAGGATGATAGTACACGCCAAAATAAGAAAGTTTTTCCTATATCATTTTTGCATTAGTACCATTTTTTTAATAAAAAAATCATTTAAATTTTTTATAAGTAAAGTAGAAATTGGGCCGCCACTGGTTGTTCCTGACATGACAATTGTCATGTCAGGAACAACAACAGTTAACTGACGCAAAATATGCTTGCACAGTGGGCGATAATCTACATTCTTTAAAAATTTACATTTGTGTTATCATTGATAACTTTGTTGATAAATGTTTTTGTTTTGCATACTCAGATATTGTTAGGTACTTTTGAATAAAACAATACTTACCTTTTATTGTTAGGTATCTCAAGGTTTCCCTGGTTTTCCCGTCGATTTTAAATTTTATCTTTCACTTTTTACGTCGATTGATGCTCATGTAGCTATTTTTAAGTGTTCCACAAAATGTGATTTCGGATTTAATCTGCCGCTGCAGTGACATGTTCGCACAGTTGTTCTAATGTGTCAACTTCGCTCTGGTAAACTAAACTATTCATGTAGCCCCAGAAAAAACACAATAACAACCGAAATGTCAGTAATCAATGATAACACTAATAATGAATAAGTTTAAAAGTTTGCTTGATATTACATAATACAATGTTCGCGTACCTGTTTCTTTTTTGCTTGGATAAATAATATCATTGTTTTTAATGCAAAAATGGATAATAATTTATTAGGTTACACCCTGTATATATTTTTTGATTTTTCAAAGAAAAGATATTCTTAATAAAATGTTTTGTTTGTCAAAAAAATAACATTTACGTATGGTAAAATTTGGGATATTGTCTGCAGGGTGCTAAAAGTTAGGAAAACAAACTCATATAAGATAAAATAACTTTTATAAACAATGATTCAAGATAAAAGTGGCTTTATTGTAACTGTTTTAAAAAGTCTTATTTTTTCCTCCTTATGAATTTCCATTATTATTATTATAAAGATTACTGAAGTAGTTAATAACCGGTTAACTATTAGCCAAATTAGCCTTATTAGCCTGGCAAGCCGGCTTAGCTGAGAAATATTTGACCGTCTAAGCTTCGCTAACCAGTTTAGCTGGTCAAGTCCAACAGCCCTAGTTGGCACTATCATGCAGCTTTTGTTCACATTTAGAAAGTGTGTTTGCAGACTTCTGTATTATTTTACATAAGTATTTTAATTTAGTACCTTTCCGTATTTTTTTATCGGTACATGCTACATTAATACATTTAAGGGTTGGTTCCCTGTTAAATAACACCATTAAATTGGTATTTGGTAAGATAACTTTCGGACTAAAACAAGTTTATAACATTCTAAAACTTGGTTTTTACTCTTTTTTTCGAAAAACTAATGATATGACAGTTTTTCCACTGAAGCAAAAATGCGTTTTTATGATTGGTCAAAATATAACGAAAGATAATTAAAATAATTCAAGAAATTTTTACTGGAGTATTTTTTTAATAAACTAGTTAAATATTTTAGTAGAAATAAATTAAATTTAAATTTTAATAATAATTTAAATATTAAAGCTGTAATCCAATGCTGGCTGGGTATTTCACAGTATATTCACTCAAAGACACAGAGTGTTCCTACCTAGTAAGTTACTCAGTATTTAGTCTTGATAACGATCTACCTTCACTAAAATATGTACTATGCTCCACACCTCAAAGTCCCACCACGTGACCACGTACGGAAGCATAGATGAACTAAGTCTTTTGAAAATTTGGCATTTAAGGCTTTTCAGGTTATGTATCTGTCAAAGTATATTCAACGAAAGAAATAATATTATGTTTAGGCGTTAAAAATGTATAAATCTTTATAACATTAGAATAACAATGGATGGTTTAAGAATTTAAGAATATAAATATTGCATTTAATGAAATTCTAAAGTGTATGGTGCCAAATAAGTAATATTTTTGTGCATTTGGTCCAAATATCTGGTTTTCTCCATAAAATAATTTTAACTAAACAGTATTTATTTAAAAAAATCTAGCTTCTATTTTATGGAATAAGAATATCTGTATTAAAGGTAGGTTAATATATTATAACAAAAATATCATCTAATTTTGTAATTTTAAGGTTAGAAGAATTTATTTTGACCAAAATAAATAAGTATTTTGGATTATTTAAAAGACTGTATACACTGAGAAAAAAATGGGACAAATAAACTGTGTAGCTAATACTTTTATTAATAGTGAATATATTGTTTATTACCTCTAAATAGTCGAAATAATAACGATAAATATACTTTAGTAAAACTTTATGTGTCGGGAATAAAAATATATTTAGGATAAATAAACTGTACCCTTGTCCCATATTTAAATATTTTTTTTATTTGGGAGCAATAAACTTTTTTCTCAGTGTAATATGGTATTTAAAAATGTGGTAGTTTTTCTTATCCAGCTCAAAGTGTACCTAAATAAAGTTTTTTTAATACAAATATTTAAAAAGCTTCGACTGAATTTGATCTACATCAAAAAATCATTATAACTTTCAAAATTTTAATAAATCACATCTCATGGGAGTATTAAATATTTTCACATTGCAAGTTTCTCTAAAAATTGTTTGTTTTCTTATAATCTAACTTAAAGTAAGTATACCGACAGGTATGCACAAGTTTTGTCGTTAGAAGTATAAAAGCTTCAATTTAATTTGAACTATATTCAACAATTATTTAGTATACCTATATTTATTTATGACCATATTAACACACTCTTTCAAATAATCCACTTATTTATTTTGGTCAAAATAGATTTTTACAACCTTAAAATACAAAATTAGATGATATTTTTTGTTCTTATACATTAACCCACAATCAACATGGATTGTGCATTAACCTACCCACAATCCACATGGATTGTGCCTTAACCTACCTTTGATACAGATATTCTTATTTCATAATAGAGAAGTTAGATTTTTTTTAATAAATGCTGTTTAGTTAAAACTATGTTATGGAGAAATGTAGACCCAATGCACAAAAATATAACTTACAATACCTTACACTTTGGAATTTCATTAAATGCAGACCATTACAAAGTCCCGTCCGTTACGCTTTAAATTATTAGTTTTTAACGAATTAAACAGTCAACCACGATACCTAATTTTGCCAAATAAAAACCTTGTTAAACAGCTTTAGTTTAGAACTATTTATAAAAATTTGACATTAGTAATATAATAGAACAATATTATTTTGTAAATAAAAACACGGCAACTGTCCTATCCGTTACGCGTGGAATAGCTCTGATGTATTTTCCAACATGTTAAGTCAGAAAATACAAACTTTAAATAGTAATTATCATTATTAATAAATTAACTACTTATATGAATTTTTAAAACGGCATTAGAAAATTGTGTTTAATCCTTTTAAATTAATAAATATTCTTAAAAATTAAAATAAAGATAATAAAATTCAAATGTTAACTCGAAACTATTTATTAAAAAAATGTTATTTGTGTATTTGAATTTGAATGCTATTTTGTAAAATTTGCCGATGCTATAAACTTTTTATATGTAGTTTTTTTGCCTTGCAAAAAATGTCTAAATATTAATACTGTTTTTTAGCTTATGAGCCGCTCAAACTGATGCAGACAGTGATGGCAAAAACCAATGAAATCTGCCTGCGATATTTGGACAATAGTATGCTAAGTTCACTGCCGGCTCCAGGGCCACCATACAACATCACTAGCGATTACGCGATGAAAAATTCCAGACGAAAAATGGAAGACCGTCACGTAATCATCAACGATCTTAACACCATGTTCAGCAATATTCAGGTTTGTAGATGAGAGGGTTTAAAAATAAGAATATGATTGTTTTACATCCCTTAAAGATGTGACATCTGCGTATAAAATAGGCCTTATCATGTACCACAATCCACACAACAGATTTTTACTTACATTATTGAAAGTTTGTTCTTCTAATGGACTTATATGGCTGGTTTATAATGGCATTAACATTATTCTCTTCTCTGCAATCTGATTCTTTACAACGCAGAACATAAGCTTTACAATTTATAGGTCCGGTTTGTAATCAAGTTCAAAAATTGAAGATGTCGATAATTCAGTATAGCTGCATTACCGATACTTTGACAGCTGTCATAAAATGTACTAAACATATAAACAAAATATAAAAAACAAATTTATGTATACGCTAAAGAAGCATCTCTAGTAGCGCCACCTCGTGGCCGTTATTATCGTAACCAGAATTCAGCTATCAAACGCGTATGTTACAAACGAAGTCGACCTTGATTTATTATTCCTTATATTATAAGGAATAATAAATCAAAGTCGAGTACTAAACCAAAGTTTTTTAGTTTTTACTTGCAACGCGAAACACAAATAACGTGCGCTATTTAGCTTTGCAATTAAACAAAATTTATTGAGTAAGACTTCGGCCTTCTTCTCTTTTGTAAAAAAACTACTTATTTATTTATTAAAAATGATGTGCAGTTTGTATGCGCATAAAGCCTTTAAATGTATTGTTAAAAATTCTTGAATTCACACAATTTTATCGAGCGCGTTGCGTAAACCCGATGCTTCTTTAGCGTATATTTACTATTATAGTTTAATACAAATAATTAAAAACAATATTTAAACTATTAGTTTGAATTGAAAGGAAAGTGTATTAATTTGAAATCCATTGTGCTTTTGTAATTAAAATCTAAATACGCACAGAACAAAAATATGTAAAGATTGAGGTTAGAAATTATGTCATCCCCACTCGTACTTGTTCTCCAGCTTCGTATTGGTTGGGAATAATCCTTAATTCTTCAAACATAAATATTGGTCATCTTAACGGCTAGACAATGCAGATACAGCATACAGCCCTTGACTACCATATTTTATAAATTACGGTTACAAAATAAGTTAAGCCTTATTACCATTATAAACCAGCCATCACAGTTTTATATAATATAATTTTTAAAATTTGTTTAATTACAGATCTGTTAAAATGTTGTTAATAAAGAAAACACTTAATTATAATTATTATAGTCTATAATACAAAACATGTTTTACTTTTACCAAACTAATAATTTTCTAATGTTTTTTTAACCATTTTTAGGAAGATAGTCCGTCCAGCTATTACGCGATATTCGATGGTCATGCCGGCCACGACGCCGCAGCGTACAGCAGTGCGCATTTGCACCAGTACCTCGTTGAAAGTAAATATTTCAATAGCAACCCAGAACAAGCCTTGAAAGATGCCTTTTGCAAAACAGACGCTTTATTTATCGAAAAATGTGAAGTAGAAGTAAGATGATTAAACCCTTGATTTTTGTGTTTATTTTCTATATTATTTTTGTTCTTTTTAGAATATAAGTAGTGGAACTACAGCTGTATGTGCTTTATTAAAACCTAAGGAAAAACAATTGTATATAGCATGGGCCGGGGATTCCCAGGCCGCTTTAGTTAAGCAGGGAAAAGTTCTACAGTGTGTAAACCCTCATAAACCAGATAGACAGGTAATTAAAAAAAGTTTCTATTGGTTTTTGAGTTAGTTTTACTTGTATAAAAATATGCATATAGTGTCGAAAATCCTGTAATTTTTAGAGCCAACAAGCAAGAGAGAAATGGGCAAAGCGATAACACAATCACAATATATTGAAATGTATACATTCGTCTCTCTCTTACTCGCTAAATTTTGAACAACTGACAACCTAACTAAACGTCACTTAACGCATAGTGTTGTTTAATATTGAAAAATTGCACAGTTAGGGAATATTATAATAATGGTATTAAGTTGTAGTTGCTATACTGCTAAAACGCATTTTGCATTATTTTGCAGTTACTGCCTTTCTCCATAGTAGGGCAGTATAGTACCATAACAGTTGTGCTAGGGAATTTTTGCTGTATTACTAACATTATGGTGACGAAATTAAGTAAATATTTGTCAGATCTGTCAATGTCAAATTTAAAAAATTCAAAATTGGTTGAAAATGTTGTTTGTAGATTATAGATAACAAAGCCTGTTGTAGATAAAGTATTGTACATAAGTTATGTAACATAACTTCTTCCTTGTGCGTAAATTACCTTCGGTCATCTATTTCATAAATTTTATTAAGGAAATTTATTTTCATTTTAAATAGGTCTTGGTTGATGTTAAAAAGTCAGACTACACAATATTAAAAAAAAATCAAATTTGAGTTTATAATACTGTCGGATTTACCTCGGCAAGATTAAAAAATTAAAGTAATCCCGGCGCATTCGCCATTTTTGCAACAACAAGAATATGCTGTTAAAACTTTGATTGTTTGTTAATACTTTGAATAATATTAAATTATTTAAATAAAAAAATCTAAAACTTGTAATTGTAATTTTTCTGTTAAATATAAAATCTTATCAAATTCTATAAAATAATACAGATTTTCATAATTTATTAAGTTCTAAGAATTTTTAGAAAATAACCATTAAATAATAAATATTAATATTATTGCTTATTTTTTTTTAAATAAGAAAGTTAATTTTCAATATTTTTATTTTTTTAGGATGAAAGAGAACGGGTAGAAAAGCAGGGAGGATGTGTATTGTTATGGGGAACATGGAGAGTGAATGGACAATTAGCAGTTTCTAGGGCAATAGGTAAATATTGATCTTTGGAAAATTGGAACGTACAGTATACTGTATAGAGTCTTTATATACCTAGTGAACTAGTTAAGGAACGGTTTTCTCACTCCACCAAAGTTGTTCGCTATTTGGAGTGCAATGAAAATTAAAGTGTTACCCAGGCGAAGTAGTAAAAGTGATTTTTATTAAGTTTCCGACTTTTTCGAAGGTTTTGCCTACTTTTGAGTCTTCAAAAAAATCCCAGAGAGAATGATATTATACAACTAATTATAATACCGAATTCGCGAAAAAAATTTTTTAAAACGTTAATGGCATAGCTGGAGCATTTTTCGCCAGAGGTAAAGAATAACTAGACAAATGTATGACTTTTTAAATGTTAGGCTCAATTTAACAAAATTCGTAAAACTTTTTCTGTTGACTATTAATCTGGAATCACTCGAAAATGCAAATTCAATGTGTAACGTGATTTAAAAAAAGTCGAAATCCTCTAATTTGCCGAATAATTCTTATGTCTTCCCAAAATAAATGAGTAAACTTTTTTATCCACTTTATATAATTTGCAGATGCAGTCGGCAGCTATAAAACTTTTTATTATATAGGGTGGTCCAAAAGGAATCTTTAAAAATTTAAGAATCATTAAAAGAATATTTATTTTCTTCTCGATTTTCTTAATAAACTTATATGGAAAACTCAACAGCTTCAGAAATACAAGGTGTTGAAATTGCATATATTTTGTTGAAAAACATTAATTTCTCCTAAACTAAACAGCATTTTATTGTTTGGTGGGTATTGTTTTTTTATTAGGTAACCTGGTAAGGCATTTTTTTTCTACTCCCACCTTTAAAACGCCCTTTATCGTACATGTTTCCATGACACTAAGTGACCTTTTAAATACACATTGACAAGTTGTGGCTTTAGGGCGCTTTAGTCACGGGCTGAAGTTAGCAACAGGTTTTTAGTCACGCGCTGAAGTTAGTTTTAAGTTAGTTGACAGTTGTCAAATGTCATACAATCGTTAAAATAATAATAATAATAATAATAATAATAATAATCTTTATTTAGCAAGGAAGCTATCTCATACCTATTATGAACATTATTTTATTATCTCAATACAAAAATACAAAAATATTAAATAGTTTTTCAACGCCAATATTTGAAAAGTTTATATGAACATTGTACTGACCTTTTAATTTCGCCGGCAGTAAACTATAACTTAAATTCGGGCACGGACTCTACTGTAAAGTCCTCATAAAACATTTCCTTTACTTTCACTGTGAAAAACTGTCAATTTTCAATATACATTTCGATTTATAACCTTTATAATTGTGTTTATAAAATGTAAAAATGTGACATTTGACAGTTTCCCCTGTTATTTCATAGATGGCGCTCTATACAAATTTTTGATTTAAATCATTTTAAGATAATAATAAGTATTTGTCGTAGAAAAAGTATAGTATGCACCTCGTTTATAAACTTTTCTATACACTCATTAGTTTAAGAACTCGCTCGCAATCTCGCTCGTGCCTAAATTAAATTCGTGTATAAAATGGCGTTTATCTACGAAGGCGTAGAAGGGCCAACAACAATATTTTTTTTTTAATAAAATTTCTAATCGACAATTGTCGATCGGTTCGACAATTGTCGATCGGACCGACAATTGTCGATCGGACCGACAATTGTCGATCGGATCGACAATTGTCGGTCCGATCGACAATTGTATATATACAGGGTGTTTCACATTCGTGGCCCATAAGAAGTTTCTGGAAAACGAAGAAAGATATCGATTTGAAATTTTAAAAGCGTTTATAATCCATTTAAGTCTATTTTCCAATAATAATTTGAACAAAATGCCACTTCCGGTTAAACCAGATCAACTTAAATATTATTAATATTATTTTAAAATTTTTCGTATTATTAATTTTTAAACACTTAATTAGTTCACAAATTGTTTATAACAACCTGAAAAATTTACACGATTAAATTTTACAAATTACGTAGTAACCATAGAAACCAGTCTCTGATAGAAACCGTCAACTCACCCGTCACAGGTTTCGTGATACAAAATAATATGTAAAATTTTAGAAATTGTTAAATATATCTGAAATTATTAACTTTAGGTATAATAGGGAATAGTAACATCAATCGAAAGGTTTTTTAATTTACTATTTGAATATGTAAAAACATACAAAGTGTTACATTTGAAATAAAAAAGTTATTAACCTTCAATTTGGCCTAATTTTTTTAAGATTCCAAAAATTCCAACCCTATATTTGCAAACCTCATAACAAAAAAGTTATAGGCTATTTTTGATTGACGCGCATTTCTTAAATTTTAACGAAAAAAAATAATTCGAAAAATATTCACTTCAAATTTCAAATCAATATCTTTTTCGTTTCCCAGAAACTTCTAATGGACCACGAATGAAAAACACCCTGTATATATACAACAATTGTCGGTCCGATCGACAATTGTCGAACCGATCGACAATTGTCGATTAAAAATTTTATTAAAAAAAAATATTGTTGTTGGCCCTTCTACGCCTTCGTATTTATCAAACTTGATACATAATATACTATTTTCTACTCCCACCTTTAAAACCCCCATAATTGACATGTTTTCATGACACTAAGTGACGTTTTAAATACACATTGACAAGTTGTGGATTTATTTCGTGTTAGTCACGGGCTGGAGTTAACAACAGATTTTTAGTCACGTGCTGAAGTTTTAGTTAGTTGACGGTTGCCAAATGTCATACAATCGTTAAAATAAAGTGACTTTTTTGTTAAATAATACCTACTAAATGTGAAAATTATTTTATTATCTCAATACAAAAATAAAAAAGTATTAAATAGTTTCTTAACGCCAATATTTGCAGTAAACTAGATTTAGCTGATTAACCATTAAAAATTTCTGGTGGAGACTCCATCGTGGTGTGCCCATAAAACATTATCTTCACTTTCACTGTGAAATACTGCTTCTATATCAGATTTAACTGGTGGTTAGTCCATTGCTAGTTACTAACTTGAAGTTAAAATTGTTACTCTATTGTTTTATAGATGTCGCTCTATACAAATATTTAAATTAAATCATTTTAGTATTTGTCGTAGAAAAAGTATAGTATTCAACTTGTTAATAAACTTTTCTCATTTAATTAAACACTTTCGCAAGCTCGCTCATGCCTAATTTAAATTCTTGACTTAAATGGCATTTATTAACTATACTTTTTCATACTACAAGCATTTCTAAAACTGACAAGTTTTCTATATAAGTTTATTAAGAAAATTAATATTATTTTAACGTTTTTTATTGATTCTCGAACTATTTAAGTATAAAATAAATACAACTGAATCACATTTCACAGCAATGTCTTAAATGTGAGTGATAATAATACATATTTTGGTATTATATATTTTTTAGGGGATCCTAGTTATAAGCCCTATGTGTCAGCAATTCCAGACGTGGTAGAATATGCTTTGGATGGAAATGAAGATTTCTTGATTTTGGGTTGTGATGGTCTTTGGGATCACGTGACAGAATGCATGGCTGCCACCACAGTGTATAATTTGCTGCGAGAGAATAAAGGTAAATCTAAGTGATTAAGTACCAATGTTATAAGCACAGTGGAAACTTTATTATAGATTAAATAATACTGTTACGTCGATGATACTGCAAAAGGTCATATGTCACTTTTGTATGTAACTTCAGGAAGACAAAAAACGGAGATACGACAGTTTACCTCAGTGCTACCAAGTTGCTATATCTGAGTGTAAAATTGGTTGCCTATATTAAGTAAATGATTCTGTTTATGAAAACTATCCTTTTTACATCATTTATTAAACGTTACATTTTATTATTTTTTGCAATCGGTCAATAAAAATAATAATTATAAACCACGATAATTAATATATAAAATAGTCCTAAAACGCAAGTGGGAAAAAAGTTAAAAGGGCCAAATGCAATGCAATGCAAAGTTGGCCAAAATTTAACTTTCCCGTTCCGTCGGATTTCCGGAACCAGTAAACTTAACCCTACATTTTAAATTAACATTACATGTAATTAAATTTTAATAATTATAACTGCATAACCCAAACTGATGGGGCCAAATTATTTTTAAACCAACAATATAAAAAACATGAAAATGCAACTGTGGTTTAGTTCTTGAATTATATTTACAATTAAAAACACAATAATTCACTTAGATAAAATATAATAGGACTTCTGCATTCCTTTTTTTTTGTGATTTATTTAAAAATGATGTGCATGTGCTTTCAATGTATTGTTGGCAAACCTTCTAGTCCAATAATTCTATCGAGCGCCACCAGTTGGCTCGCGCGTTGCGAAAATCCTATGTTTCTTTAGAGTTATACGCAGAAAAAATATTATTTTTTAAATTCTGTATTCGTAGAATGTTAATGATAACAAAATGTCTGTTAAAACAACATAATGATATCTATTTGCCATTAAGCACATGTGCGCTCTCTTAGCAACATAATGTTAATAACATTATATTTACATAATATTATGCCAAAAACATGACATTTTGCAATTTTTATTCTTAGAGAATAGCACCATTCGTTACAAAAAAACAAAAAACACTGTAATAATGTCAAATACAGATTATTTACGACTACGTACTTTTAGGACCGACATATAGTAACAATTTAATCATTTTCTCGCTGTGCCACGCATTTTAAATACAATTTTTGTAAGAGGAATTTTTAAATTATGTACACTATGACCACTATGGAAGTCTCAAAAAAATAATATAAAAAATTAGCTTGGTAATTAAAGGAGTTATAAAGAGGGGTATTTCCATTGTAACGGGTGCGACACTGACACTGCGTTTTTTCATGATAAGTGTTGGTTCATATATATCAAGATACGTTAATATACAAAAATAGTATACAAAATTAGATATTTAACTAAAAAAAATGTCAATAAAAACTTGTATAGAAATTTTTCGTCATGAATCGCGTAACGGGCGCGACCTTGGAAAATCGGCAAATGCGACCAAGTTGGCTTCTAAACTTGATACTGTTAAATTTTGAATGAAGGCATATAGTAATATTTTTTTGTGTAAAACTTGAATATTAGCCTTAAACAAGCACGTATTTTAATCGCATAAATATTGTATACTTTATTTTCTAAACATTTCTTAAAGTGTAACGGATTTGAACATTTTATCGAGTATTGAAACTCTTCCGTGTTTATTCTTAATCAAACGCTTCATAGCATCACAATGTAAGAATATTTTGAGGTTATAAATTACGTCCCAATTAAACTATTTGACTTCAGATATAGTTCTTATTTTGTTAAATAACAAATCTGATTTTTTGTTAAGGTGAGGTAAGGTTTCGTGGAAATACCCAGAGGTAAAAATGAGAAGCTATTTTTAATATTCAGAAATTTTGAAATGTTGGTTGGGAAGAGACATGGACCATTATCAATAATAAAGATAACTCAAAATGTCCAATTAGCCAAAAGAATCCATTTCAAAAATCACAATTTTTGGTGCTATGAATTAACATTCGTTCTTACCCTTACCAATGCTGCAACGCTCCCAGGAAAACATTTTGCGTTGAGAAAGAATTTGTTTGAAAATAATGGGCAGAATTTTAAACATCTACTGTGACTTATGAGAATTCGATAATTTACTCAGCGTGAACGGTTCTTCTTAGAACAATTAAAAACGGTTCTTTTTTATAACCACCAAACAGTTACCTACCTTTAGAATTTCCATTACGATTTCGATACTATTGGAAAACTTATACGTGGCAAAGACAGAGATATCAATTTTTTTATATTTACTTTGGGCCTTTCCATCTCAAATCGACCAGGCAAAAAGGGGTAGGTCGTTATTTTTTAACGAAGTTTCTCTACCGAAATCGATAAGACCCGTATTTTTGCTTAAATTTGTTTTGTTCACCCGTAGGAATTTTTTGAAAAATGGACGATTTTTCCCTTTTTACGAATGAACTTTTTTCTTAAAAATGCGAGAACTTGGCCAAAACTGTTTTGCTCGATTTTTTTTTAATTGTAGGTAAATGTTTACTACACACAAAAAAGTATAAAAAATTAAATAAATTTACTCAATTTTTTTTTAAATTGTTTTATCTAAAAAAGTAAAAAAAAATTGAGGTCAAAATTTTGACCATTGTCACTTTTTTTTTACTTCATATTTTTTTTGTTTAAAGTTGATAAAATGAACAACTCTCACCAAAAGTTCCGAGTTGGCTAAATTCATAGTTTCGGAAATATTATTTTTTTTTATTGAAAATGCCATTTTCTAGTAAATTCGTGGTTAATCGCAAAAATTTGGTCAATTTAAAAAAAAAACTTGAGTAAATTCACTTAATTATTTATATTTTTTGTATGTAGTAAACATTGTGTGTATTGTTTATTTCTCTGTTAGAACCCAGCTTAACACTTTCAAAACTCTTACTTTCACTTATTAAAACTTTTTCAGAAAAAAATTTCTGAAGGGTGCTGTTCTGAGAAGTGATTTTCAGACTCTCTGAGAAGCTTTTTTTTGTAAAATTCTATTTATTTATGATGTAACTAAGAATTTAAGAGCAAAATTTAAAAAATCCCACGGTTAGTTTTTTTTTAATTTGATTTTTATTAAGAATATTGGGCCCTATTTTAATTATCCACTTAAAACTTTCGATTTTATTTATATATTGACAAAACGTTTGAATTTTATTAAAGATTATTTAATTTTCATAAAAATAAATTATAATTTTTTATATTATTCACCATTTTCTTACAATATGTGATTAAGAATATTATATAACTCTTAAACTTTTATTATACTTAAAATTAAAAGTTTATTTTAAGGTAGCCATGAAATTTTAACTTGGATGTATTTATTTGACATTTAAGTTGTCATATACCAGCTATATAAGTTTTATTATAGTATTTTTAAACTATAAAATATTTTTAAACCCTCAAAAAAATTTACAAAAGGCTCTGGATGGTCTTTTAATGGCAATGAAAGTCTTAAATTATTGAAAAAATATTGACTATCTTGGAAGTTTGGAAAAAGTTGTTAATATGTGTTTTGGTAATAAAATAAATAAGAACTATTTAGACCAAATAAATAATTTTGTGATAGATTTTGTTGATTTACATATTAGGATAACTCCAAAAATTCATGCCCGAATTTTTACAAAAGCACGAATAAAGAACACCCAGAATATCCAAAACATTTAGTTGCTGCCATCATAAAATATAATGCATTTATAATTTAATTTTTTTGTTGAATAAAAAGTTTTTTTTAATTGTTTTAATTGAAATAAGTTAAGAAATTAGTTATTAGGTTTTTTCGTGAATTTATACATAACTGCTATGATTATTGTTTATTTTGGTTTAAAATGATATATGTAAATGATATAAAAAATTGTGAAAACATGTTTTTAAAGAAAATTTAATAATCTTTAATCTAATTTAAACGTTTTGCCAATGTATATACGAAATCGAAAGTTTTAAGTGCATAATTAAAATAGGGCACAATATTCTTAATAAAAATCAAATTAAAAAAAACTAAACGTGGGATTTTTTAAATATCGCTCTTAAATTCTTAGTTACATCATAAATAAATAGAATTTTACAAAAAAACAGCTTCTCAGAAAGTCTGAAAATCACTTCTCAGATCAGCACCGTGTTTAGTGAGCTAAATTCGCATCACCTTGTAGAGTTAATAAAACATAAAAAATAGCAACATACTTGGAAACTGTTTCACATGGTTGCACTGAATCAAAAAAAAGTATCAAAAACCACAAAAATACCAAGAACACTATTATCCTGATTTTTAAGTTGAATCCCTTTCAATAAATTCTAATTTGTAATTTGCTTAGAGTAGGTAGTGATTTAGTATTTTAATTTTATTTATGTTAACTCGAATAATTGGATAATTATTTAATGTATTTATTGGTTGTTAAGTATCAAAATTTGACCTTGAAATCGTCATGCTCGAAGTGCTTGTTAAAAATTATTTGGGTACACAAATTCAGAAATTCATCTATGAAATTATAGTTACAATTATAGTTAAGTTTAAGTATTCTTCTATGTATGGTTTTTTATATCAAGAGCTACTAGGCGAAAAAATCAAGAATTGGATAAAAATATACTAAATTGGTTGCATGTAAAACTTACTTTTTTTTAAATTTCCGATTCCGATTTTTGTTTTTTTTTTCTTCAAATATTTTAAGAACCGTTGTTTTTTTCAAAAGTTTCATTTCAAAATTAGCTATATGTGCACTAAGGATGTTATTAAGATGATTAGAGAGCGACACCCAGCCCACATAAAACTGAAAAAAAAAATGTTATTGAGGGCGTAATGAATTCATTACGCCCTCTCATTACGCATTGGTTGTTATAGATGCATTTTTCTCTTCACATAAAACTAAAAAAGAATGTTATTCTCTGAGGCCGTAATGAATCCATTACTCCCTCTCATTACGCATTTCGGTTGTTATGGATGCATTTGCATATTTCGTAACCAAGGCGTAATGAAAAATAAACACAGAAGAATACTTCGCGCACCCTGTATACTCTGGAAAGTAGGTTTTCAAGTTATTGAACACTTTAAATGCGG